AACTTGCTAGAGGGCATCTACGGGACATTGTTCTGACAATTATGTATCAGTGACTCAGTCTTTTTGCACATAGGCTGCTCCCAGACAGGTTCACAGGATCCACACGCATATATTCAGAGCTGACACTGATGTCTCTCTATTGGCTCTGAAGAAGCTCAACAAGCAGCTCTTAGCATGTTCTGGTTGAGAATAGTTTTATCTGCTGGGTAATCCAGTCAGACTGAGCATTAGTCTGCTGCTCATGATGCACAGCACCGTGCAGGTCAGCTCACTAGAGCTGGGCTTTCTGACTGCTGCTCCTCTCTCTGGTGTCCAGTGACCTCTGCTTTTGTTAAATAGACATCTATAACCACTTGTACACATGTTGGAAAAACGTTTGGTCCAGACTCAGAAGACAAAACTTAAATTATAAAAGTAAAGGTTGTTGAGACATTGTGATACACACAGTTTGGGTAATGTGCACCAGTCTGTGTGTAACTTTTAATGACCTTTTCCCAGTACAATCTCAGGCCTGAGCCAGGGAATAGCTGCCAGAGAGCTTAACTCACCTTTAAACCTTTGGCCACCACACTCCTCAGCAAATTCAAGGTTAGCTTTGTCTGGTTAGGTAACAGATAATCAGCGAGAAAAGGTCGCTGGTCCTCTGCTGTGCAGCTCACTGGCTTCTCCATCCAGCACCAGCTACTTAGCCTCATCTCTAAACCTGCTGTTGCCTAATGACAGGCCCGTGTAGAGCCATGGGCCAGCTGGTATCTCACCAGTTCAAAGCCTCTTGCGATTTGAGTTGTATCAGACCAGGCCTCACCGGTGTGTGTGTGTGTGTGTGGATGAATGTGAAGCTGGGGATGGCTCTTCACAGCGAGTCAGGTCAACGTTACCCAAACGTATTAGTCAGAGGTTGCAGTGCTAATAGAAGACGTTTTATTTTATTGTAACACATACAACAAATTTTGTTTGGAGCCAAGGGCCTGGGGCTGCTGCGTACATACGTGTAACTTGGGAGTTCAGTGTTTTGCCCAAGGACACATCGAATGGACTGCAGGTACCAAGATTCGAACCTTCAACCTTCCACTTGGACACTGACTGCTTGACCCATCTCTCTCCTAGTTTCATTTTATTAATCTACTGCCCATAATAAAGGCATAAAAATGCATGCATGCATTTTGGTTCTGTAAACCTCAGTGTGTATCAATGTCTAGACTTTATATTATAACGTAAACCCTACATTTATCTGGTGGCATATTATTTAGGCTTTTGCCACCTTGCAGGATTAAATGTAATCAAAAACATTTGGCATGGTGCCTGATCATTAATGGTTATCAAACCTTTAAAAGCTTTTATTTGGTTCTTGAATGTAATGAATCTATCTGTCAGTGTGGTTGGGATTTGCTGACTCAAAAGAAGGCAGGACTTCTCACTGTACTTTATAAGATCATTAAGCAAATGTTCTCTTGAGCATTGGTTGAATAATCCCTGTGGCTTTGACCTCATCTGGTCATCATAGGCAAAGCATGGCTCCCAATGTGCCTGCATAGGAACACCTGTACTGGGCCATAGGGCATCATCTACATGGTTGTTATAACCACCATAATCAGTTTCATCCTAGTCATGCAAGACTCAGAGACAAGTAAGCTTATTATGTTGTCATTCCAACAGAACATATCAAATTTAGACAAAGGAATGCAAAGCAAGTCGGTTTTTTTTTGTATTTTTTTAAACTCTTCAGCATTTATTTTCATCATTTGAATCCCTGCAAAGTGGTAGGCTACAACTACATGTCATTAGGGAAAACAGCAATACAGATAAAACACAGTATGCACAACCATGTTTATTAGAAAATTCATTTGCATGAAAATATATTTGCATTAAATTGAATTACTAAAGGCAAAAATGTGAGCAGATGTTTAAGTGGTCGTGCGGGGCTGCATAAACTGCTATTTAATCTTTTAGTGTTTAAAATGCTGCATTACGAGTTTATATTTTGTGTCCTTATCAGCTATTTTGTGTCCTTATCAGCAACACCTTACAACGTCTAACCCGATAAAGTCTCGTTATCAGGAAAATCTTATAAACAGCTTTTGAGTAACACCGTGGGGCGCTGTTAATATCAAGTTTTAAAGCTAGCGAAAAAACTAGTGAACTTTAAGTTAAGATTATTTTTGTTAAATAATAATATAATAATAATATATAAATATATAATAGGAAAGCTATCCTATTTACAGGGTAACGTTACATTATGTGCATAGGTGTCGGGGTGTTGCTGCCAGGACAACAAAGCTTCCCATTGGCTGCCGCCTTACCACGTGACGAGCAGCATTGGGCGACAGTCTGCGGGACTAAGCTGAGTGTATGCAGCGGGTCTGGGAGAAGGCTGGTGGACCTTAGACGCGAGCAGCTGGTAAATCCCCGCAACCTGTTGTTGTCTCAAACTTTTCACCGTTCCCCCTTGTGACACGAGGTAATGGACTATTAAAGAGACATTTAACAGGCTCACCACAGAAACTTATACGCGAGGTAAGTTGTCTTTAATGTGCCTGTCCTTCGCTCGCTCACAGTTTGTCCGCTTCCTGTTAGCTACTTTTCTTGCTTGCAGGTCAGGTGAGATGAGTTTACAGGTTGAAGCAGTTTTTTTACAGCTAGAAACGTTTACCCACAGTATCGTCCGTCTGGATTAAATAACAGGAATAACAGTATTAACTCTGTTCATCCATAACTTTGCCGGGCATAGCATTACAAGATGCTAGCTGTCATTATGTAGAGACTGTGCACTAACGGTTTAGGAGCAGTGAAACGTGTTTACATTATAATATGAAACAGTTTCTCAGGAGGTGTCGGGACAGCAAGTATTGTTTATGATGATTTGTGTGTGTGTGCGTGCGTGTGTGTGGATTTCAGATTCTCAAAAGAGAGGATTAGGATTTGCTTTTAGGACTGCAAGTACCAGACTTTTTTATGAGCAGTTGATCCACCAGTATTTATTTTACAATAAACCATTAAAAATGTCGTAAAGTATCAATTGTTTGGTGTATAACATGTCAAAGTTGTCAAAATGGCCATTGCTGAGCTCAAAATGAGTTTTTAAAACTGTTTTATCTGACCACTAGTTGCAAATCTAGAGACACAGCTAAACGTATAGTAGTCAACAGATAGTGCAGATATGATTAGCTGATTAATCAATTGGTCTTTGAACCAAATATTTAACACATTTGATTGTAGACAAATAGTTTGTCTTTAAGGACAAATGCCAAACGTTCACTTGTTCCAGCTTTTCAAATGTGAAGATGTATTGCTTTACTGTTTTGTAGTATGTAGAAAATCTAAAAAATAATTGACAAATTAACCAACAATAAAAAATAATTAAACCTACACTAAATTGTGGAAACCTGACCTTGAATGTGAGGTTTGGTAGAATCAAGCAGCTAAAACTGGATTGAGGATCAAAGTGACAAGATAACATCACTGCTTGTAAAATTAAGAGGCCTCACTCTGTCATGTGCAAATATAGCGTACTTTCTTTTGGCTGGTGGCTTGTGGTAATTGAATGCCACTGGTTTGATGTGGGATGTAAACAGGAGCCTGTCATGGTTGAGTTTTTTCTGGCGGTCCCAGTGACGTGAACAAGAGGTCATCATAGAGGTTGAGCGCATGAAAAGACACAAGTAGATACAGAATCAAGCTGAAGGTCACTGTTCCAGATGAGAGTTTAGATGCAGGAAGTGAGAGGAAAGAGGTTTACTAAAACAGAGGAACCCAAGGTGACAAGCATACTTTGAAATGACATCTAGTTTAAAGTTCCAAACATACAGTACACTGGCCAGGTCCCCCTCTCACCTCAACATGGCAAGCAAATTCAAAGACCTGTGGAGGTGCTGATACAAGGGTGGAGTCACTCTGTGTGTCAGAAGCATCCCTCCAAACATTTCAAGATGCTGCAATGCACACAAAATTTGAACAGATGTTCTGTTTTTGTTGGTGTCTTCTGGGTTAGTTTTGGGCCAGACTGACCGCACTGACAGCATCCTCTGTAGTTAGGCTAATCTGGACAGCAGCCAGTGCTCTTTTGAATTGAATTAGACCATTTTAGAGGATACAAACAGGTGAGAGTGATTGGGAGAGAGCAAGGATGAGTATAATATTAAAATAAAGGAGAAAAAGCAAGAGAGAAGGAAAAACTGATTCTGGCCTGTCACACAGACAATATTTTGGATAGACAGCTGTGTTTCTCACATGCGGTGCAGTACAGTAGGCATCACTGGCAGAGAGGTGGCAGCCATGTAGTCATCAGACAGACTGACATGCTCATCTGTGCAGGCTTCGTCTGTACAACAGGCTGTTTCAGAGAGAGACATATTTGGATATTCAGTGCAAAGTAAACAGCACCCTCCATATGCAATCGGTGACAATTTGCTGCGAGTGAGTGAGGGATGGTGCTTGTGTGTGTGTGTGTGTTCAATCCTGAGTGTTTTGCAGCTCTGCCTGCCTCCTTGCAGTTGTTGTCTGTGACATTTATTTTTAAATCTTGTTCTCATTTGCTTCCTCATAATAGCTTCTCTGTCATGATTGCGGTTTTCTTGCCTTGATGGACAGAGCTCTCCGGCTGACAGTGGGAGCTCGTATGCGCTGCTTTATGATGAATTTGCTGCCTCGGGTTTGTCAAGGGCAAGATGGATAAGTTTTTGAGCAACATTTGGAGAAGGAAAACGATAGTTTCAGACATTGTCAGGCAAAGAAACTGGTTTCAGCGTGTCTTTAAAGCCTGCTGTTTATGCAAAATGCTTGTGGAAAATAAACAGAATACTGTTTATATGTACAGAAAAATAAAACCTATGAATTGTGCCACTATTCAGGTTCCTCTGATGTCTATTTAAGAGACAGACAGAAGCAGTACAGTAATAGTAATAAAGATAGCCTTGTAATAAACACACTTATTAGAAAGTCTGAGGACATTCGGCCTCAGATTCTGAAATTGTACTACTGTACGTTTGCACTCTTGTGGAGGAAGCTGCAAAACGACTGGGATGCAATTTATGATTATTTCCATTATAGATTCATCTGCGGATTGTTATCTCCATTAACTGCTTGGCCTTTGAAATATAAAACTGGAAAACATGGTGAGGTCTTCAAATTGCTTGGTTTGTCCAGTCAGTAGTCTACTGTCATATTCCACAAAGAAAAGCAGTAGCCTGCATCCTTGCTGGATGACTGACCAAGGTGAATAATTGTTTCAGCTCTAAACTGGTTGATGTTTGTGTTGGTGACATGCAAACACATTCTTGGTGTTTTGATGTTAACAAACCACCAGAAAATCACAAATGGTTGGTTTGGAAACGTGTTAAAGTTTGTTTCATTGCTGCTTAACTGTACTTTCATTTTAAGTTGTACTGTTTTGGAAGCCTTTTAGAGACTTTGTGCGACTTTTAGATTTAGTTGTTGCTTTAACTTGCAGTAATCTTAGTGTCATGATTTTTGTTGCCTGTCATTCCAGTTTAGTCTGACAGGAACAGAAGAAAATCCACTGCCGAAGACGTTGGTCTCCTCAGTTTGTGGTACTGGTGGACAGGCTATGACCTTACACTAAATAACACAGAAGATAGAGTTGCAGTCAGACATTCAAGATGCCAGTGAAGCACCACGCTACACTGAACAGCGCCTCTATCACGATGCTTGTAACATGAGAACAGGTGCTCCCAAAGCTATGCTGTGCTGCAGCAGCATTCAGTGGTGGTTTGAAGTGTACTGCTGATTAGACATGTGAGTTGTAGCCATGTGGGTTGTAGCCAGGAGATGATTTCGGGAGTGATCTGAAGTATATGGTGTCTGAGGAATGGCTGTGATACTTTATGCACCAGAAACTTTGACATTTTCTTCTCTTATTTGCATCTGTTATGTTTTTGTAACAGGAGAAACTACTTTCAGTTGGTCTTCTGTTTGCTCACATGCAGCATTAGATGAAATTTTAAGTTGAAAAGAGTTGTGTCTTTATTAAAATCATAATCTCCTTGGTAGAGGTGATTAACAGAGAAGAGAGTAGCTGTGCTGGTGAAGTTGATAAAGTCTGTGCATGGTGTAGCCTGAAATCAGACGGTGAAGTCTTATCATAGCTGAGTAGGGGAACGGGTAGGCAATCCCACTGTCTGGGATTGAGACTCTGTCAGTGACTCTGGCTCTCTGACGACCTTAGCCAGCTCTCTTTTGCCCTCTGTTCTTGGATTATCTGTGGGACTCTCAGGTTAGAATTTACCTGCAGGATATAAATGGAGACTTACGGCTGTTGTGTAAGTGGGCAACAAGATGTTCTGGAACGAATGCTGTGTGCCTTTGATTCAAGTGGCAAGAATGATTCATTGTTGTTCAATTCAGGAGTTAAATGCATCTCAAAGCCTAATGAGTTAATCCCATCATCCGCTCAGTGTCTCAGATGCTGAGCACTGTGTGTCCATGATAATCGTGTATGTACTGCCAGTGTCATAAGAAACGGAGAGGGTTGGCCTGTTCTCTGACAGCATATTCACTCACCTGTTGTGACTTCGTGAGATGGCTGGGCTAGAAACCTGGCTCAGCCACATGAGTTGTCCGCTTGTCAAAGCCTCGGTTAGGTAACGGTGACATCACATGCAGCAGCAGGTAAGAGTCTTAAGAGTTAATTGTAGGTATTGAGCCAGAAATAGCTGAGGTCTTAGGTTAACTGGTTGAAGGGATGTTCATTGCAGGTCTGAGCTCTCTCTTCCCATCATTTCTTCTTTTAAAACTAAATACTAGTGTGTTATAATTCAGCGTTACCTGTACCTTGTTTCCTCCCTCTGTTTTTCAGTTATTCAGAAGGTTTGTGTGTATGTTAAGTAACTATAACTGTGCACGGCCATAAGGTTCTTGTACAAAGAACACATTACCTGCTTACAACTATATTATGGTGTATTATAAAGCATTTATTTATAGTTTTTGCGCTTATAAAGGGTAATTAAAGGAGGTTCAAGTAAAGCATTGCCAAAGGAAATATAGGAATAGTAACTTTGCTGGGATGGGCCTTCAGCTGTTGAAAAGGTTTGTCGACAGTGAAAATGAGCTCACCTGCACATCTGTGGCCTGTGGGAGGAAACGAAAACCCACTAAGAGAACGTGCAAACTCCACAGAGATCAGCTTATGTAACACATTAGAGCTACAGCTAACAATGAATGAATTATTGATTAATCTGTCTTTTTATCACTGTATAGTGTTCCCTTAAAATAATTTAGACAGTAGTGACAGTTTTAATTGTAATTTACCAAAACATTGCAGATTCAGATGTGACATTCAAAGAACTTGTTGTCATATTCTGTTTATAACATGACAACCACCTCAGATTTAATTTAAAAAAAACTGGAACCAGTGAAGATAATGTTGGCACTGAAATATTCACATTAATTGATTCATATAAAACAAAAAAGGAAGTCCTGTTACGTAACCCTTTAAGTCCCCTGTTTATAACACATTATATGTAGCTATAAGGACAACAGTAAATGTTTATTAATCTACCATATTTGTTAACAATTATAATACATTTTTATATTTCTGTGTTTTTTGCTATATTGTTAAATGTTGGTTAGTTCCAAGATTTAAAAATATGAGGATTTGATACTTTTCTTTGTTTTAATGTATTATAGATTAATGATTTTTGGGCTTTGGACTCTTCGTCTGACAAAAACTAAAGTGTCCAAAGCCAAAAAAATCTAAGAAAACATTTGTGTTTTGGCAAAGTGTGATGGGCATTTTTCACTATCTTATGATATTTTATGGACAAAACAATCTATTTGTTGTAGTATTCTGGTTAAAAAGTGTTAAGAAATATCAAGTGTCTGACCAGACACTGTAACTTAAATTATGTTGTTGTCATTGTTGTAAAGCCATTAATTCCAATACTAACTAACCTTCCTACATTTAGAGTAATGAAGAGAAACCTTTGGCCGTTTCTGTTCCTCCGTATTACTGTGTAAACAGTCTGGCTGCACACAATAATGCACACACAGTCTGTAGGAAATCATGGTCTACTGCCAAAGAGTGCAGGTTTAAATCTTAAGAGTCAAGGAAAGTTGAAAACAAACTGAGGAGTAAACTTTATCTCTGTAACACCTTTCAAACCCAGAGTGACAGGATACTTCACAAGTGCACAGAATATGACATTGTGCAAGTGGGTTTTCAGAAGCTTTGTGGCCTTAGACTTGGTAGTATTTTGGCTGCTACAGCTTCTGTCATGGTCCTAGGGAAAATCTAAGAAAACAAGTGAGAAATTCAGTTGTCAAATCAGCTGGCAAGTGCTTGTTGGCTTGATCTAGTTGTAAGATCTGCCTAAAACACAAGCACTAAAAGTTGAACTGATGCTTTCAAATGATGTCATTTAGTCATGTATAATGTACAGTTTTCTTCCCAGGCAAGTGCAAATCCCCAGTGTTGTTTGGACTTCCTGTGTGCTGACATGTAGGAGGTGTTTAGGGTTCATTACTGGTTGAACAAGAGCTCTTTTTACAGCAGACATTTTGACTTGTCAAAGCACAAAAAGCACAGGTTTAATGAGCAATATTAATAAGGACTATGTCATCAGAGCCACATATTTAATGTACTTTGTTATACTTGCTGCAACAAGTCAAAAAGTCTCCCTTGAAAAAAGGCCTGTTAGGCAAATATACAGTGGAAATTGCGTGAGATCACCAAACTCGATGTAAGAATCTTAAGAGTGTTGAGTGGCCCGCGTTAACAGGTGCAGCTACAAAGTGAGGGAGATGTTGATCGGCCTGCACGTTTCCACTCAGTCCAGAGACAAAATCTTATGTTTCACTGGTAAATTTACACACAAATGTCCCCACATCTCATTAGTATGTGCCTGTTTACTTCTACTCTGTTCACGCTGGGTAGCTGGGTAGCTGCTGATGTGTTTTGCTCCTGGACTGATGACTGTGTGAGCAGATCTGTTAACTATAATCTCCTTTTCAGGCTGCTCCAGTGTTCACACTGGCATTACAGTGAACTAACAGCAGGGAATGCTGCCATATTTCTACAGCCCATTGTTTAGTCTGAGTTAATTAAAGGATTATAGCAGGTTATTTATGGACTGGGTGAGTGAAATACAGAGAGTTGAGGGTGGGGTCCATGCAAATAGGAGTAAACACAACTAATGAAAATGGAGGGCACTGAACTCATGCAGATTGACTTTAAGTGCCAAAATTGCAAAATAAACTGGTGTGCATTAGTGTTGTTTCCGTTGCCCTTTCTTGTGTAAAGCTTACGTGTTTTCATAGTAGCAGTAGTGTATTAGTGTTTACAGTAGCAGCACTTTTCATTAATTCTAATTGGCAGTTAGAGCTTATTTCCACTGAAACAGCCACAGAAGTAACCGTGACGGCTTTTTCACTACAGCCTTGATCAGTTAATCGATTAGTTGTAAGTGAACTGTAGACAACAGTCAGCATTTGCATACAGTGTTGTTTAGAAGAGGGGTTTTCAACCAGTGGTCCATGGCATAGCGGGTGGTCCCTGACCATGCATTCAGTTATGTAGTTTCACTGTAGGAATCACTTTTTTGTTTACACACATTTACATGTATTAATTGTTGCTTGTCAGTAACCAAATTCGATGGAAATGTATAACACTTAAACAAGCCAAGGGACTCTAAATTGGAGTGAGGGTGAGTGTATGTAGTTGTTTGTCTGCATGGCGGCCCTGTGATAGACTGGCGACCTGTTCAAGGTGTACCCTACCTCTCACCTGATGTCAGCTGGGATTGGCTCCAGCCCCCCCACAGCCCTATTCAGGAATACGTGGTATAGATAATGGATGGATGGACGGATAGAAAAGCCAGCGTGCCTTTCAGGATTAAAATAACACCCATCTGGACTATCCACCCCACAACAGTGGTCCTCAGGTTACTTCTTAGTCAGAATGGTGCTCCCTGGGTCACAAGTAGTTGCAAACCCCTGGTTGAGAACAAACTACCTAAGTATGTACCTGTATAAGTTTTTCAAGGGTCCTGAAATACTCTACACAAGGGCTTTGGCTCAATTTGAATTGAACTATTTTGTAGCATTGCTGTCTTAACAGAGAGTGAGAGAAGCCACAAACATTTACTGAAAACACATATGTGACAGATCTCTGCCCCTTCCCTTGAACAACCCTCCTGTGCTGTGATTTCCTTTAAGCTGACCTGACGTTGCTGATTTTATCTGTCATTATTCTTGGCTAAGCTTAGAAAAGCTTCCCTCTTGTCATTAGCCTGAAGAGCTCAGTAGCAACCAGCAGTCTGACAGGGGAAAGCGCTAAGCACATTATCTGTAGGGAAGGCTAGTTAATGAACCACATGCTCAGTTGAGTTTTAAGACTCCCTGTTCACTTTCTGCACCATATCATTCATTACAGAGGAGTGTTATTTTAGCTTAGTGGCCGCTACATATGTGCTGTGATATAGTCTGTCGTTTTCTGCAGATTTTGTGTTAAGCGCCTCATCACAACCCAAAATAGGTCAAGAAACTCTCTCGAATATTAATGCAAAGGATGTGGATGTGTGTGTCGAGGCATCAGCAGAGTTCCCGCCGGAAATGGAAGCTGCATCTGCAGAGATGCACGCACATGCATGCCAGCATGAACGGGGTTGTCAGCAGAGTGTATGCTATACTGTAATTGTGAGTGTAGGTGTGCATCTGTGACAGTTTTGCACTGTGAGAACATTTGGTGGTCTTGTGTTGCAGGTGCATGGGAGACAGAACGTGGTTGTGCGTCTACATAAGACCACATACTCTTTGTATTCCTGCTTTTCTTTTCACTGGTGTACTGACTGATTTTATCATGAAACAGAAATAAACTAAATTGAAAAGTCCAGGTTAGATTAAAAAAAAACGTGTGATTTGAACTGCTGATAATATTAGCACCAAAAACAGATAGAAAAGTAGACAAATAATCCAAACTTAACATGTGTCAAACCAGAAACTGGAACAAAACCAAAATAAATCCTGCAATGGTTTTCAATGGGAGATGGTCCTGTGGGAATCCTAGCCCTGACTTCTAACAGCAAAGGGATTCATCTGTATCAGTGTTGTTTTATAGGCAGAAACTGCATGTTAAGAAAACAGGAGTAATTTCTGTGAATAAGAGAAGCTGGTACCTTTACTATAGAAGTTAATCCAGCTTTTCTACATGTTTAATGTATTAAAGAAAGCTCATTGTCACTGCACTTTTTGTTCCCGTTTGACATTTGAATACTTTCTCCCCATCTCCCCTTTCTCTTTTGCACTGGAAAGGTTCAATCTAGGTCATTTTTAACAACCGTTTTCCATCTCACTGTCTTCCCCAGCAGTTGAAAGCACCGCCACCCTCACAGCAGCTACAGCCTCATCAGAATCAGCAACCATGGGCAAACAGAACAGCAAGCTTCGTCCCGATGTCATGCAGGACTTGGTGGAGAACACAGACTTCACTGAACACGAGATCACCGAGTGGTACAGAGGTTTCCTACGGGACTGCCCCAGCGGTGCCCTCTCCATGGAGGAATTTAAGAAGATCTACGCCAACTTCTTTCCTTATGGAGATGCCTCCAAGTTTGCCGAACACGTCTTCCGCACTTTTGATGCTAATGGAGATGGGACTATAGACTTCAGGGAGTTCATCATTGCTCTGAGTGTGACCTCACGTGGTCGACTGGACCAGAAGCTGAAGTGGGCATTCAGTATGTACGACCTGGATGGTAATGGATACATTAGCAAGGCAGAGATGCTGGAGATTGTAACGGTGGGTCTGCTTTGCTGATCTGTCTTTATTTCCCTCTGTCCTTTATCCTCTTAACTGTTGAGACTTTTCTGCTTCTCTAGCATTTTAGAGGCTCTCAGTCGCTCAGTGGCGATTGCCATCAATGCCATGTTCCCTAGTCCTAAACGTGCTTCTGCAGTGGAGCAAGATTTTGCTCAGCCATCCACACCATATCTGTTTCTGTGTTCTGCACCATTTGACTGCCCACAGCAGGAAAATCTGGAGCTGTAATTTTAGAAACCAGCAGTTCCTCTAAAGACTGTGTTGTATTTCTAGTAGGGAGCGCTCTGCCTCTGATCCTCACACTGATCCCTTCTGTCAGAGCACCTTACACGCACACACACCACCCAGCAATCCCTTACACATGTTGTTACATCACACATCATGGTGCTAAGTTGAGTTGAGTGCCCAAATCCCATTCTGTAGAGTCAGTTTCCTTTATTTATAGTGTGTGTGTAATGTGATCAGGTGTGTTTACATGTAGGGATGTTCTGATACCATCAGTCCAGTATAGGGCTGTGTCTAATGACCATTTTCATTTTATTTATTCATCTTCATTTGATTTTATTATCATTTCCAGATTAATTGATTGAAGGAAAGCAGCAAATCATCACACCTGAGAAACTAAAACCATAGAACTGGCATCTTTGTTTGATACATTGCTTAAATCAGCTGTTTAATCCAACTGTTTGTTTCAGCTCCAGTTTTATCTTTACTGCAAATATTTGGCTGATTTCCTGGCTTTTCCTTGTTACATCACCAAATACTAGTGTCAAACAAACAACAAAATGACAATAACAAGATGATTATAACTATATATTTTGCCTCCAAAAACCCCTGATCCTTTTATATTAGTGTCAATTAACTGATAAATTGATTAGCTGATTGATAGAAATTGTATGTGTTGTTAATTATTCATGTATCAAGTGCAAGTATCAAATATTTTCTGGCTTGTCACTTACAAATCTTAAGAGCAGCGTGATGCACAATGTGTTTGTGTCTGCGTGACTGGTGCAGATGTACACAGCTGCTTGAGTGCACGTTTGCTACTGTTCAGTCTGATAACTGTTATTAGGGGACCGGATCTGCAGTTTAAGTGTTTGTTATACAGATTGTGGCAAGAATGAAAACTGTGAAAAACAACGACACGGGGGAGATAGGACTGGGGATGAAAGCTAAGTGTCGATGAAATTTTGATTAGATTAAAAGCTGGTGTTTTAGCCATAAATGTGTCTTTTAAGTTATCATCAAATTCATAAAATTCTTTATATGCATACATTGGTAAAGTGGATTTTAGCTCCATGGTATAACCCAGCAGTGTTACCAAACACTAACTGCTGCTCCTTTCAGTATCTCAGAAACCCTAAACAGTAAGCCAAACATGGTTCTTATCTTGATTCATCATCCACTTAAACTGCCACTTTTAGACATTAATATTTCCTGTTTGCTTCTTCACAGCCAAACATAAATGAAAGTAATCTTCTATCTTACTTCCTCCTAGAATAGATAAGTTGCTTGGTGGATCTTATATTTATTTCACTGACATGTTTTTTTCGCCCTGCACTTTGCAGCAATCCAGCAACATTGCTTTGCAGTTAAGCTTCTGGTCAGAACAGCTCTGATGTTAAATGTGATCACTCATTATGGTTGTTTTTATGTTTGGTTTCTTATGTCACTTAGTGAAACTAGACAAGTTTTAGACTGTGATATCTATCACTGGAAATGTATTACACCAACTTTCTAAAATGAAAGGTTATTTAAGTGACATAATTAGCTAGAATAGCTATTTTTACAGATACAGTCAGGTACATGAAGGTTTTAAATAGCTACTTATAGTAGGAGTCCTTACTAATAGTTCTGTTTCTGCTTTTTATGCTTCTGTTTCCTTGGTCTTCAGGCCATTTACAAGATGGTTTCCTCTGTAATGAAGATGCCCGAGGATGAGTCCACACCTGAGAAGCGCACAGATAAGATCTTTAGGCAGATGGACACAAATCGAGATGGTGAGACTTCCTCAGTGTCTCTCACTCTAATGCAGTGTGTCCTGTTAAAACAGTATCTTATCTAAAGCTTATGATTGAACATCATTTAAGAAAGTCTTCTTTAGATATGTACAGGCCCGCCTGATACTGCTCTGTCACTGCAAAATCTTAGTTCTGCAGTATTCAGTCATTATAATTAAATTGGCTACAAGACAGTGCCAACACAAGATGCACTCCAGCAGTCTAAGGAAAGATGAAACCAAACAACAGCCATTCAGCAAATTTAAGAATTAGTAGGGACGGTGCAATATATCAAAATTCAGTATATTGTGATAGAGAAATACCACAATATGTATTGTTTTATCTAGCGATATATATCGTGTAGTCTCCATACACCAGTTAATTCATATTTTTTATAAATAAGATAAGTCTAACAGAACATAAATCAATATATCTGGTTGTTCTTTACATAATCAACCAGTGCTAGAGGAGATAAAGTACAAGTGTTCCACAGCTAGTCATACATTGTTGTCATTGAATTTTATTTGTATCATGATTGGATCAGATTGCGCACACCATATCATGCATCGAATCATATCGAGAAAAAGTCGCATCGTCCCATCCCTATGAATTAGCCAAACAAAATGATGTAAATAGTAAAAGACCTGTTAAAGTACCTTCACCTCATGGAATATAGTTACTGTTTGTTTTGATTCCATATATTTTTGATAAGCGTTTATCTTCTGCAATGAATAAACAAGATAATTAGGGGATTCAACAATAATCTTTGTCTCTCGCCGTCAGGTAAACTGTCTCTGGAGGAGTTTGTCGAGGGAGCGAAGAACGACCCCTCCATTGTACGACTGCTTCAGTGTGATCCCAGCAGTGCCGGGCAGTAGAAAATTGAACTTTTCCCGCCGGAATTTCATTAATTTAATACATCTTTAAATTCTAACCCACCTGAGATGGTTGACATTTGAACTGTAGAGTCACACACTTGTGCAGACAACATGTAACTGTATATACTCTAAATACCAAAGCCTGATGCATATATAATTTTACATATACTCAGATGCACATACTGTACATCTGTCTCTATGCATGAGCAAAAGCTGCAGACAATACAGGTTTAACATCTGGTACAAATATAACTCCAAGGACTGAAATCCCTTAAGACTTGTCAGGCACTAAATCCAAGCTCTGAGAACACAGCCAGAGAGGGTAATCCAACAGATTTAGAAGGTAGGTTGAGCCAAATCCAATTTCACTGTTTATTTTTATGTCTTTTATTTTTGAAAGCATTTTTCCTAATTGAAAGGGAATCATGCTCGTTTTGTTCTCTATAAGTGATGTGTGAGCTTTGCTAAGTATTGCCATTTAACTCCATGTTAACACTGGAGGAAATGAAGTATGTGAGTCTGTGACTAAAAGTGTTCACAGCTGACAGTATGGCTATGAAGACAGGAGGTCCAGGAAATGCAGTTTTTAAGCACAGAAGAATTTTAGAAGGTATGAAAGACTTCTGTTTTTTAATGTATATTTTGGAGGAATGTTACATGAAACAAAACAGTCAAATGATGGGCAAAGTGACTTTTTATACTAAGTTCTGTGTTCATACACACAGTTAACATAAACACATTTACAGGTTCATTGTACAGATGAATACACAAACGTGACACATGCATATAGACAAAGCTGTGATTCTTTCTTCAGCTATGATTCAACAAGCAAAAAAATGTTATAAGAATATATAGTAAGTAGTATATTCTTTTACTCTGTGAGAATGTTGAGGCGATTTGCTGGAAAATATGATTCACTTTAAAAATGTTGGTGTATAAATTATTGAAATGTGATGACAAACATTTTATTTTCTCTTGCCGAATACGATATGAAAGAAAGTTGTACAGTATATGTACTCATTTATGCTAGAGATGTCCAAAAAGGAGACAACCACACATATTGCTATGCATTCAGCTTTGAACATCATCTGCTTCATTTAGTCTACAGTATGTAGCTTTTTATCTTTTGACAAAAAATTTGCTACAGTTGTCTCAGTACGACCCTAAACGCTGACTTCATATTATCTAGGAAGCATGTTGTCAGATACTGTCCGCTAACACTGTGTACAAAGTCAGTGATGTCTGTAAATCGTATGTTTGTTTTTTTTTTGTTTTTTTTTTTGTGAAAATGTGACGTCATCTCCTCATTGTGCACTTTTTTTCTTATCTGCACTAAATTTCAAATGCATTACAACTGTAACTATAAGACAGATTGGGTACTACTGTGATGCTGGAGATGACAGATATTTTTACGACTATGACACATCGTAACAGAGACATAACCAACAGAACAAAGCACTGTTGTTGGTATGGAGTAACAAATCTTTTCCAGGTTATATTGAGGTCTGTACCATGATCTTGCGCTGGAAACTATATGTGATACAGTAGTTTTAATAGAAAGTTGAGATGAACTTTCTGGAATACTACACATTTTAAGTACAGGTGATCATCAGGTACTAAAGTTCCACATTTAATTTCAGTAGCATGTTGTGGTCAAGTGCCAAATATAGATGAAAAATGACAAGAAAACTCAGTATTGTAACCATTTATACTGTACAGCTAACTGTCGAACAAGAAAGGCTATCATTTTGTAGATTTTGTATTGTTTCCATGCATTATGTTCTGTGTATCCTGTATATTCTGTCCATTTTGTTATTCAAATAAAGGCAAAATGGGAAAATGGCTCCTTCTCTTTTTATTATATAGGCATAAAGTAGCATCTAAGAGACATAATTAGCTGCATTAACATCATAGCTCTAGGTACTGCATTGCTTGTTGGGTTTAGTCTACACTGAAATAGACTGAAATATTACTGTATATTTCCATGTCACGTTGTGGAAACAATCTGGTCCCCAAAGGAAGAGTTTTATTTGCTGTGTTGATCCCCTGACCTTTTGTTCACTTTTGTGGTTGTGAGTGAAATCTCTCAACAACTATTGCATGGATCGCCATAAAATTTGGTTGGCATGTTCATGTTTCTCAGAGGATGACTCCTTTAACTTTCCATCTAGTGCCAAATCATCAGGCCTACATTTAAATTTTTTCATTGCATTGGATTATGATCAAAACACAGTTCTTCCCATCATTCAGATGTACATGTTTAGCACTAATTAGCACTCATATGCATAGATATAATTGGAATCAAACAAAATACTAAATGTTAGTATGCTAAAACACTACAATAAGATGGTGACTCCAGCATTTTAATAGACTGAGCATGGCAGCATTTTGCTCATAAAAACAGGCTACAGCCTCACAGCTGCACTATCGGATCAGAATTTTAATTTGCCCCTTTGTTTATGACCAAATTCCCACAAAACTAATGCCATCCATCTCAACCTCAGCTCTAGTTTGTGTTTAATGCTAATTTGTGCTAGCATGCTAAGGAGATTGTGAATATGTAGAATGTAGTAATATTAATTCAAAATCAAAACTGAGTTAAGGCCATCTCATCTCTCTCATCTCATTTTCTATACCGCTTGGTCCTGAATGAGGTCGGGGGGGGGGATAAAAAACATACAGGTACTATGAAGTAAACCGTAGTTCTGTCCATAGACTGTATATAAAGGATTAGGGGTTAATTAGTGTGTCATAATTTAAAATGAGTACCGTACTTATTGATTTGCTAGCTAGAGAGATACAGTAGCTGCTAAAGCAAATTTACTTGTATTCCCTGAGCTCTCCTTCTGCTTGGAAAATTTAAGTAATGTACAGAATCTTTATCATTTTATTTAAGTTTGTTAATCTATATAACTGCTGTAGTGGTACAATATGTCATTTTAACATTGAAATAAAAACAGCTAAACAAGTCTGGCTAAAAGAAGCTACTGTAGCCTCTTGTGTAGCTACATTAAAATGAAATCTGTGCCTTGCCTCACAGAGCCACATGACTGTAAACTCATAATTTAGTTTTATCAAAAATGACATCTTTAGGTTTGTATCTTTATTTATGACGCACCAAATATGAGACCTACACAGTAACCAAGTGCCATTTCTCACCCCTCAGATGTTGTTTATAGTATTGTTTTTTGTTTTTTGTTTTTTTTGTCTTTACCATGGCATTTATACAAATATACACTTTGGCTATTTGTTCATATAAATATTAAAACATGGCTAAAAAAAAATAGAAATAAGACATTTAATAGCTTCGTGAGTACTCTTGAAGAGGGTGACTACGAGAAAGGTCACTGAAATGTAAAGTACTTGAAATTCTTGGATAAAATGTTAAAGAAATGCAGAACCTCATAATTAAACACATTAATAAATAATAACTAACAAAAATAATGGCTGGCATGCAAAGAAGATGCTAACTAATTCAAACTACAGTATAGTACAATTATTCTCTGACTATTCCTGATGTATTATTTGGCAAAAACACAAGACTGTACATAATAAGAATAAATGTACAAATTCTTTTATACAATGAAAATATTCGGTAAAAGTGGAGGACATGGATCTGAAACACAATATGCAATATGACCGTTCATGTGAATAATGTCTTCTTTTTGTTTGTATCATTGTCCTCTTCCTGCAGAGAAACCATGATTTGCTTCATAGTGTAACAGTGTTGGAGAGGGATCAGGTGCATCGACATTGACCTCAGTCTCGGAGCAACACCATCGCTGGACTGTCTCCAATGTCAGTCAGCTTATCAGCCAATTAGTAGCAGCCCTGTAGATTTCAGCCAGCCAGCGGTCACAGCATTTCTTTCATCGTATCCCACAGTCTTTCAGGTCAGCTGACAAGCGGTCAGATCTCTGTCAGCGTGATCTTGTAAGTGTCTGCGTAGCTCTCAATGTTGAGGATGAAGGTGTCTTCGTTGGAGTAATGCTCGATGATGTTGTTGTCCATGTTCACCAGGATCCTGAGACAAAACACCAATGATACTTCAACTTTCATTTCATATGCATAACTGACATTTCGAAATAGGCAGAACATTGTCATGTTTTCCCGCTCACCCTTTTCTACTTTTCTTGTACACTTTGGCTATCCTCTCCGAGGGCACGCCGTACTTCTCTGATATCTATGAATGACAAGTGAGAGTTGTTTGTAAACAGGTACTCTGGTGCAAACAAATTGGGTTGTTGACATCACATTCACATGGCAACAGAAAGGCTCCACTCACAGCATCCATCAGGCCTCTGAGCGTGGGAGACTTCAGCATAAGAGCGTCAAACACCTCATCAGTCTCTTTTCTTACATACAACAGTACTACAGTGAGAGCAGAAGAGAATAAACCTTTAAATGTTTGTGTTACAATGGTATCAATTCTGAGTTCAGCTTTCCTTGAACTGGATCATTTCTTGAAGATCACTGAAGAAGATGAAAGAGAAAAAGTGACATGTAGGGGCGGAAGTTGTCATCTTGTACCTCTCTTGTGCGTCCCTGCTTTGATCTGTTTGTGAGGTGATGGACACAGATCTTCATCTGACGGCTTGAACATCCTCTTCACCAGCACACTCCTGAAAACACACAAAAACCCAAATGTGTCATGTGTTGGTTTGCATTTGTGGTGAGGTGCATTTCCTCTGTATGAGGTCACCATCAGTACCTACGTTCATTTGCATATCTTATACAGTGGCAAGAAAAAGTATGTGAACATTTTGGAATTTCATGGTTTTCTGCATTCATATGTCATAAAATGTGATCTGAGCTTCATCTAAGTCAAGAGTATTGGCAAATATAATGTGGTTAAAATAAAAAAAAATTCTGATCTTCCATTTCTTTATTGAACACACTCAATCAACATTTAAAATGGTAGTGGAAAAAGTAAGTGAGCCCTTGGAATTAATAACTGGTTGACCCCCCTTGGCAGCAATAACCTCAATCAGGTGTTTCCTGTAGCTGTGGATCAGACCTGCACAACGTTCAGGACGAATTTTAGCCCATTCTTCCTGACAGAACTGCTTTAGCTCTGTCATATTCTTTGGACGTCTCATGTATGGCTCTCTTCAAGTTATTCCATAGCATCTCGATTGAGTTGAACTCTGGGCTCTGACTTGGCCACTCCAAAAGGTGGATTTTGTTTTTCTGAAGACATTCTATTGTGGACTTACTCCGGTGTTTTGGGCCATTGTCCTGTTGCATCACCCAACTTCTACAGAGTTTCAGCTGATGTACAGACATTCTCACATTATCCTGAAGAATGTTTTGATACACTTGGGAATTCATCTTCCCCTCAATGATTGCAGGCCAGGCCCTGATGCAGCAAAGCAGGCCCAAATCATGACGGTTCCTCCACCATACTTTACGGTTGGGATGATGTTTTCATGATGAAATGCAGTGCCCTTTTTACACCAGATGTAGTACTGCATGTTCTTTCCAAATAGTTCAATCTTAGTTTCATCAGTCCACAAAACATTTTGCCAATAACACTGTGGAGTGTCAATGTGCTCTTTCACAAACTTCAGGCGTGCAGCAATGTTCTTTTTAGTAAACAGCGGCTTCCTTCGTGGTGTCCTGCCATAGACACCCTGCTTGTTCAGTGTTTTACATACTGTAGACTCATGAAGACAGATGTTAGCCAGTTCCAATGACACCTTCAAATCTTTGGCTGTCACTCAGGTTTGTTTCTTTACCTCACTGATGAGTCTTTGTTGTGCTCTGGAGGTCACTTTGACTGGACGCCCACTTCTTGGTAGAGTAGCCACAGTCCCAAAGTGTCTCTATTTGTAGATCGTTTGCCTAACTGAAGACTGGTGAATTTTTAAAGTCTTTGAAATCACTTTATAACCCTTTCTTTGCTTTATGTAAATCAACAATTCTTGATCATAGATCTTCTGAAAGCTCTTTTTAGTGAGTCATGGCTCACATAAGCATATTCTTCTTGTGTGGAGCAAACTCAAAAGGTTTGAGTGGTTTTTATCAATCAAAGTAGCTCTAGTCCACACCTCATTAACTCAAAAGTTCACATACTTTTTCCACTAGCACTATGAGGTTTTTATGGTTGTTCTCAATAAAGACATGAAAGATCAGAATTTTTTGTTATTATTTTAGGCACATTATATTTCTCAATATAGCCCTGCGATGGATTGGCGACCTGTCCAGGGTGTACCCCGCCTTCACCCGTTTGGCTCCGGCCCCCCCCCGTGACCCCGCAAGGGACTAAACGGTAGAAATGAATGAATATTTCTCAATACTCTTGACTCAGATGAAGATCAGGTCACATTTTATGACAAACCAATGCAGAAAACCATGAAATTCCAAAAGGTTCACATACTTTTTCTTGCCACTGTATTTGTAAATGAAAATACACATTTCGTGATGATGCACACCCACCCTTCTCTCTCGATTTCCTCTGTGTTTAAGGTAAATACCTGGAAATGAATCATACAAAGCACAAATAAGTACAAAATTTAATATACAATGAGAAATTGTTGAAGTTTCACTTTATCAGATGAAGACAGCTGTTTAGAAAACTTTTGTTTATATAACAGAAAATATGTGGAGGTGACCAACCTGCCCAGCCCTCTGCAGGTTGCCAAAGTGAACATCTGGAATGAAAAGAACGGGCTGGGCCTCCAAGTCGGTCAAGGTCTTGAAATAGGTGGTGTCAGATTTTTTGGGAACACTTATCACACTGACACCTCCATCCTTCCCTGGACACCAGATATAAGAACAGATACATTTTTACAACAAAAAGATTTTTAAAAAAGTGTTTATTAATCTTTCATTTCTGATGAAAGATTAATAAATGAATGCCTTGTAGTTACAGTTATTTACAGGAAGGGGGGTTGTATTCAACATGATTTCCAGCACTCTAGACTTCAAATTGCACCCTGGGCCTATATTTATCTCTGATTTTGATGCAAACTAAATTATTTCTCATGCAACTCAAACCTTTTGACTTCTTGCGGAAGAGTTTTCTCTCCTCATCCCTTATCTTCCTCTCTGCTCCCTGAAGAAAAAAGGGGCAGACAATAATGAAAACATCATTCTGTGGAAATGGTTCAAGCCTCCAACTAAAAGTTTGGTTTTTATATGAATCTAAATGACCCGCACACAGGTGTGTCTGGAGGCTCACTGTGCAGGTGAGACCACTAGAGGGAGGAATGATGATATTATTTAACTCCCTCACTCCACCTGCTGCTTGGCAGTCAGACAGTCTACAACACAATAATACAGGCCTGTGCATTTACACTGTTAACTTTATATCTCAAAACATTAAACGGAAAAAATATAAACAAAAAAATTTTTAAATTTTAGTGTACTGTCATATCGACTGAGACAAAACCAGACAACTGTTAACAATCTGGCAGCAGCAAATGAATATTCAAATCTGTGATATTACTGGTAGTTAAATATCAGGCTTTGAACTGTTTTATTAGCAAAAATGTGAGGCTTAATCTGAACAGGGCAAAACTGTTACATCTTACAAAGCTTCACATAAGAACAAGTTTAACATCTCTTGTCCATAAAATGCAAAAAAAAAAAAAAAAAAACACTCACCATGATTTATAGCTGTTGATTTTACAAGGAAATAACAGCAAATTCATTATTCTAATTAACCTGCCAGTTATAATAAGCCCAAGTCACAAATGAACAGTAGTCCCCCTCTTTAAAATGAATTCACTTAAAAATAGTTTCAAAATGAAAACCAAAATGTACATGTGATACCCTTTAATGGACTTGAACTTCCTGACTGATAAAACCTGATATATAGGAAGTAATATCTCACCTTGTCACAGAAGACCTTAATCTGTGAATAGGCCCTGTGCAGGGGCTTGTTGCTGCGGTTGTTGTAGCTGTATGTGTCGATCTGGATCATCAGAGGAAGACCCTTCACCCCCTTCTGAGAGGAGAAGTCTGTGCTCAGACAGTTGACTGTGATGAAGATCTGCCAATATTACAAGAAGAGGTATAGGTTTATATCACTTAATTTCAACTGTAAACACAAATATGGCCTGGTTTATTAAATTATATTTTGTTTAGAGGAATGTTTTCAGTCATTATGTCACAAGAGAACACACCAGATCCTCCGCAACAACTCAAACTAATGATGAGTCCAAATAGAAGATGATCCCTAAACAACATGGTTCTAAACACAAAATGAAATAAGTCTGTACTTCAAATACATGATTAATATTTTTACAGATGCCATAGTCCAAATTAAAATAGTCTGTGGATTTGAGCATAATTTATTCCAAGTAATTTGGATACTGTTTCTGGGATTTTTTTCTAATGCTTTGAGCAGCATAAACAAAATTCCATTCACCTCCATTGCAAATATTTAGATATCCTGGTACATAGAAATCAGAGCTATATGTAACTGCATGGTAGCTCATAGCTAGAATATGTTATCTTATGATTTGTGTTAACTATTCCTTTGGAAAAACTGGCAACTGCTGCTAAAACATAGTCACACCTTACAGAGTTTCCTGTAACTTAACAATGTTGTATTTCTTATTCTGCAACCCTCAGCACACATCACCATCTGTCTCTGGGTTTAGTTTCTGAACATTAACATGGTCTGCAACACAAGCCAAAGAGGTTGGTTATTAACTTAAACCATAAAATCTTTATTAGTCTCAGCAGCAATGAGGAAAGCCTAATTCGAGTGTTTCTTCCCCTTAGGGGATGAGAAGGCTCTGCTCTGTGCATCCAAGGCAATCCATTTAGTATTCAGTGAAAAAGCCAAGCACTGGGCTTTAGATCAGTGGTTCCCAAGAAGAAATATGTATCGTGAGTGGTTTCCTTATTAAATAGACCCTGGGGAACCACAGCTGTGAGAGCCCTGAGTGTACAGTGCCTTCTTTTCTCCATATCTGAGTCTTCTGGCCTTCTTGAAAGTTAGCATTATGTTGTGAATGAAATAAGTATCTCAGTACTCTATCTCCTTTAAAAATCTATCAGTTTTGCTTTTTATTATTCATGTAATGCCACTGAGTCTTCTAACTCATTTCGAGCTCATGTGGAAGATGATTTGGGCGCAAAATCACTAATAATGTTATGAAATAAAGGCTGAAATGAACTACAACTATAAAAACACAAGCACCTTCCTCAAAATATACATTAAGTGCTAAAGAAAATGTTTATTTTAGCATCTATTGAGGTGACTCTTTTCTGTTTATAGCCATCCCTGAAAACTACTCATGCTCATATTTTACTATTAATATGCAGAACTGTTTTCCTACTTTCTCTAAGACATAAAAAGGCACTCATAGGTTTTTATTAGTGCAGGTATCCTATTTAGCTTGATACATTGCCAGCTTCTACTTTACCTCTGCAGAGATGTAAGAGGACATTTTGAATAAACCTCCCACTTTTTTGAGAGCTAAAGAAGGAGCAGGATGTACAATATACTGCCTGGGAATTACACCTGTTCCTGCACTGCAATAGGCATAGTCAAGCTCAATAGTCACACAGATTAACAGAAGGAGGGAGAGAGAGAGTCAATATTGGCCCAGAGAAGTGTGCTTGGATTTCCTCCAGTAACGTCTTTGTCCCCAGGCTGCTACACACACACACACACACACACACACACACACACACACACGCACACGCACAAAGTCACTCGCATTCACACAGAAATGAGGGCAAAACAAACAACAAAGGGTGGGGAAGGGGATTGGTGTGTGTTGGCCCTTGGGGGATTTCAGAGTTCAAACAATGACAGAGCTCCATTTAAGGAGTGGCTGCAAAGGAGTGAGCTTCGCAATGACAAACAGAGCAAAAGCACACAACAGGTCCCGTCAGTTTTATGAAAGACCAGCAATGAAATAAGATTTGAAATGAGGGAACTTTACCTTTCCCCTCCTCTATTATGGCAACATATCGATCATTTAACTCATCATTTTTAAAGTCAGCTCTGTGAGTGTTCGTCATGTCTACAGTGTTTGCATCACAGTTGAAAGCCGGTTAATTAGTCAAGTGAATGCATTTGTTTGCCAATACCTGAATCAGCACAGAAAAACCTGTCCAGCTGCTTCTTAATATCTACAACACGCCTGAATTGAGAGTAAACACTGTAAACCGGTTTCTGGAAAATTACAGTAATACAAAATTTCCTCATATTTGTGATTTTGTACCTTGGCCTCTTCATTCACATCCCAAGTAAAGGAGATGGCATTGTAGGCGATTTCTTCAATGTTGCCAATTGTGTTGAAGCTCTCCTTGTAGTCAGCTGTGTGAACAAAAATAGGTATGGTTTATTTCTGCAATCACAATAACCCGATATGTAACTTCTGCTTCTCAAAAAATGTTTTCTGTAACCTGCAATTTTGGCAGCTATCTGTTGTTTAAAAATAAAACTAACCAAACTCCATCCCCATTTTACAAAAAAACCACCACACGCAGCATAAAGTGGTCAATAAATGACATAAGCTGGTAGCTATTGTTTGTTAAGATAAGGAATCAAATGGCACGCTTCAGTTTTATTAGAGAAAACCTTATCTGCTTGAGCAAACAAACTCTAAAGTTTCAAAGGTAACATAGGAGGCTATTTGGCTCAGAGAAACGTATTAAAAGTCAGTCAGATGAGTGGATTGTCTAGTTGCCACTGACCTGAATGACTACAAAATGCAGGCCTTTCAAAATGCAGGGTCAAGAGGTCAAATACACTGGTATACTGTGTAAAACCTTCTATGAGCCTGGAGATTTTTTATAGATTTATATTTGTTCATTGTAACTGAAGGATTTCATTTTCTGCATTTGGAAAAATCTAATGGTCATTTGTTTCAGGTAACTATTTCATAACTATGTGATGTTTGTGCAGAAAGCAAGACTGTTTTAATTCCTGATTTAGTGCTCTCCAAATAATAACACAAAGGTCTGGAGATTTTTAATCTGATTTAAAGACTAAGGCTGGTGACAGTTTAGGTATTTTCCATAATTACCACAGCTACAAATGCATATTAATCTACAGCTGAAAACAGTTCCCAGCAAATGCACTTTTTATTCCTGGTTAGGCAACATAAAAATACAGCACCCCCAGTCTTCCCCTGGAATCTGACTTCCTCCATCATCAGAACCACTGTTGCAGCGAAGCTTCCCAGTTTTTTAGCAGGTGCACAAAGTGAGCAGGACAGGCAGCTGCATGCCTATCTGCTACTATACCCCATTAAATAACCCCATTCAAATGACATAGCCCAGGGGCATGATCCCCATCCCCCACAACCAACCCTCCAACGCTATTCAAATCAGCACTTTGGGCAGCTTCAGGTTACAGGCTGCGTCCAGCTACAGGCCAACGTGGCACTGAAGGGCAGGGTGGAGGGTCATTTGACCTACAGAGATGTTTGAATGGACACCCCCCATTGTAGTGTACATACACAAAAATGAGAGCTTAAACTATAAGTCAATTAGGTAACGGATACAATTGTCATAATAGATTAATTGATTTTAACAGAAAAAAGCCCCAAAATGTTGGTTCTAGGTCCTCAAATGTTAATTTTTGCTGCTTTTTTAATGTTTTTATGAAAGTTCACCCTCTAGCTTTTTGGTTTGAATTCTTGCTCCAACAAAACAAGCCATTACGTAAGTCAACTGTACAGTTATCATGGACATATTTTACTGACACAGTATGTCCCAATATAAAGGGTGAACACATACACATCAAGATGAAATGCATGATTTTTCCATCCCCAATTACAAGACCTCCTTAAGTATGTTAAGCATCTTCTTTGGCATTGCATTCTGACTATGTTTGTACATGCAGGAAGTGTGTGCTTATCTATTTTTTAGTCAAGTTGTAAATGCACAGTAGCTACATACACACACCTACAAACACTGACTCATTATACTGGCAAATACCAAACAGGATGCAAAAAAAAATCAAAAAAAATGGCTGGCAGCTACTCTATATGGAATCAGTTATAAACAATCATATTTCATCTTCAAATCCTGTTCAAATCAACCTGATGTTTGACACCAAATGCTTTGATTCAAGCATGAATTTATTACAATTATGAGGTAAAAAAGAACCACATACTGTAGTAACAGCTAAAGACTTGCAGGATTCATTGGAGCTGGTTAACATCTCTGTTCATGAGTCAACCTTATGCAAAATATTGAACAGGCATGGTATCCATGGCAGGACGCCACAGAGGAAGCCACTGCTCTCCAAAAACAACACTGCAGCACGCCTGAAGTTTGCCAAAGACCACCATGACACTGCACAACACTGCTGGGAAAATGTCCTGTGGATAGATGAAACCCACAGCACTGCGTACGGCGCAAAAAGAGAACATGAAAACATCATCCCAACAGTGAAGGGAGGTGGAGAGAGCATCATGATATGGGGCTGCTTTGCTGCCTCTTGACCTGGACCACTTGCCATTGTGGAGGAGAAAATGAATTCCCAAGTTTATCAAGGTCTCCTACAGGATAATGTCAGGGTAGCTGTCCACAAGATAAACTCAGAACAAGCTGGGTGATGCATCAGGGCAGTGACCTCAAGCATTGAAGTAAATCTACTACAGAATGGCTTCAGAGACCTAAACCCCGCCTTCTGGAGCCCAGTCAGAGCCCAGACCTCAGCCCAATAGAGATGCTGTGGAATGACCTCAAGAAAGCCGTCCACACCAGATGTCCTAAGGAATATGGATATAAAGTGTGAACTGTAGACTAATTTGTACTGGTTCATGTAAATATAGGACTTAAATTGAGCAAGAATTACTTTCAACAGACCAAGACTAGCCAAGTAACGGTGTGGCTAGCATTCCTCTCCCTGTCCCAACAAGCTGCGTGTGTTTCCCATCCGCCCCATGACTCCCACATACCTCTCAGTCTCTGCCTCTGTAAACAGGTCCAAGCTTGTCAAACGCAAAACCGCCTACGAGCTTCTCACACGTTAATTCAACAAGGCGTAGAAAAGGTCGGTTCAAATTCAAATCCACCAACCGAAAAACACCAGCAGACAAAAGGTAAAAAAAAAGTTGAGATACAATTATGAGGTTTCAGATCGGCACATGTAGCCTACACCCGTGGGAAATGCTGCGAGAGAGAAAGTTTGCCCCCTTGTTTTGGATCTCCAACTTTTTTCATAAACCAGTGTTTTTCTCAATCCCTCTGCAATGTCAAGAAGATTAGAGGATTTATGTTGCGTGTCCCAGCAATACCTAGACATTAAGAGATTCTAGTGTAGTGCATGGAGGCCAACCCAACCTCCTGTCTGATAGTGGATGATGGTGGGCAACTGAACAGCCTCAGGCAGACAGTTGGGTGGGGGCTTGTTTGCTCTCAGTTTGGTCATGTCTTGTTTATAGGCTGAGCACATTCCAGCATTTGTAACAACATAAATCTGTCATTGTCTTTTGCATCATATGTTTTCATTCAGCTGTTCAAGAATTTGCTATTGTTAACATGTACATGGAAACTTTTTGAAGGAAGGAACGGGCCAATAAAAGTCTTACCAATGTCCAGGACTCTCTGTTTGGCCGTGTGCTGTCGAGAATGCCAGTACTTCCAATATTTAAGCTGCTCGTCCCGATTCTTATCCTCACTGAACACCACCATGATCACACTCTGAAAACAGCAACAAGAGCAAAAATGAAGTTCAACCAAATGATGCTCAAGTTTTAGATCAAGATGGTGCACCTGAACTTGTGTTTGGCACTGAACTTTTGGGATTGTAACCTAACAGAGTAGCTTCAAATGCCATCAGGGTCTAATGTCCTGTGAATCTTATTTCATTCTTTTTGGCAGAAACAGCATCAGTTTCAGCTAATGTTTTTCTGAGATCTGGGAACGCAGCCAATAAGCTCAATATTCACTCTCCTTTGACCTCTGTTTACATCTTGATCACCTCCTGAGGGATATGTTTGGCCTTTTGCTGCTAAACGCTCAGCTGTTGTCTGTCTGCTGCTTGTTACTGGGAAGGTGGCATACAGTTAGGTTATCAAAACCTTTTCACTGAGCAAAGTTATCTGCTGCATCAGGAAACTAAAACCAAAGCACTGATGTTAAAGATGGCAAAATATCCCACAGAGATGAGTGAAACAGCAATATTATCCCCAGTAGGTGTGTATTCATTTCATTTACCAGCAATTATAAAAATACTAATGAGACTCAGAATGAGAAATGAGACTGAAGCGACTTGCTTACCCGAACTTTGCTGATGGGATGACGGAGGCGTTTGTCGGCACTGAGCTCATTGAGCGTCACAGCGTAAAACTGGCCTTTGTTCAAGTAGGTCATTGGTCCCTCGCCCTGCTTCTGACGCAGAGAACGAGTGGCGTCCAGCGTGTACTGGAAGCTGTCACTGTACAAACACACACACGCACGTAGGAGTTGGATGGTGGGATGGGGGCACAACAATGCAGACTCTTCTTTGTGGATCAGTATGTGACATAATAACAAGCAGGCTATGTCAATGTATTCTGAGTGACTTACACTCCCTCCTGGTGAAATAAGAAGTCATCTGTATTTAGAGAAGAAGGTGTGTGGTACCTCTGATGAGAATACAAAAAGCACAGAAAGGGGAAATTATTTGGGAGCAATGACAAGTTAATTTAGCCTGAAAGGAAGTGGTTAAACGATGCTGTAGATGAGAATCAGAGTAGAATGACATCATAAATAGAAAACAGACTCAAAAGCCCCTTGATTCTTGTTCAGTCAATGAACCTTTGGACTCTCAGTGAGCTTTACAGATCATGTAGCACTTTAAATTTCATTTCTTACTCTTCCCATAATCTGTTGCGTTTTACCACATTTCCCAGAGTGTCTTTAGCAACCCACAGTTAATAATTCACTATACTGTGTATGTATAGATGGAGGAGATCACAGTCATAGAACAAGGGTCATGTTCTCAATGAGGCTACCTGTTTAAATGAAGAACTAATATGTTAAATAATAATAGTATAGCTTTTCAATACACAGTAGTGTGAATAGTGTGTGTGTGTGTCTGTATGTGTCCCCTTTAAACCAAAGCAATGTCTACGTTTTGCACCTTGTCACAATTTTATCATGTCTATAAGTTGGGACTAAGTAATTTCTCTTTGTAAATTGCTTAATTAGAATATTTCTTGAAGGCCTGAAAAGGCAAACATACCCAGCAACTAAATAAAAGTCAAGAAAACAAAAGAATTGAATTGTGTTTTAGGGTGTATCTATCCTTGAATAACAGAGTCTCTTTACAGCCAAGGCCACATTGAGGCGTCCTTCTCACCCCATCTCGCTCTTCTTCATACGGGCTGTCAGGTGGACTCTGCTGGTCCTCTTTCGCATACGAGCTGTGACTGACGGTGGTCACCTCATATGGACTCTGTTCGTAGATCACCCTCGCTGACTCTTCTCCTTCCACTCTATAGTGATGCCCCGGGCCCGTCATGTAGACGGGGGCGTACACCTCGGCCTTCACCACAGCCACAGCTGGCGAGCCTCCGTCCCTAGACCCCGCCCCTGTCGAGCTGCTGGACTGCTCCCGTTTGCTCTCCTGGTGCTCTGTGTTCAGTGACAGGTTGACGGGGACAGATTTGAGGACCTGAACATGGTTGTCCACTGTCTCCACCTCGCTTTGGCTGCTGGGGTTGCTAGGCAACGGCGACCTGAACAAACACATGAATTAAATAAAGTCTGTGCTGTATTTATGAACTTTATGCTGTTTGTTTCTTTTTGGTATTACTGAGTGGGTGTAGTGCATTTCTAGAAAGTGCTGTTTTTTAGGTTGTGAAAACCACTGAAATATGTAATTGAACTACCTCTAGAAATAAATATATGCTGCTGCTTATCAAAAATGATTTTTAAAATGCTGCAGTTCAATAAACAAATGTGTCAGGTCCGCTCGGCGCGACCTGCCTCTCTTTCTTTTTCCCTCTCCTGCTCTCCCTTTTTGCGGGATCAACGCCTCAGCTGTGTCGCATCGGGTAATTAGTGACTCGTGGGTCGGTTCGCACACCTGAGGCGTATTCCGGTGATTTGTTGGCTTCCTTATTTATACCTCTGGCAGACGCCAGATGTGTAACGTACTATACTTAAAGTAAGTTATACAAATGTTGTGTTTGATCCGCATTTTTTTTTTTTGGACGTGTGTAAGATGCTACGCTGACAGTATCTGTGCGTTTTGGCTTGACCTTATCACGCTTATTATGCGGTTAGCAACACAGAAATACGTGCTTTGTCTTCCACGCTGACAGTCTCTGTGCTGTGGATTACATTGTTTACGTTGGTTCTTTTTGTTCACCTGTCCGTTCTCATCCTCCTGCTATCCTAGTTCCTGTCGTTAGTTTGTGTGTTTACCGTCCTGGTCTCCTTAGTCATCACTGCCCTTCCCTTGTTGTATGTATTATGGACCCTGTTTTGTTATGTTGTTTTTATTCCATTAAACCACCTTTTTTGTACTAGCACCTGGGTCAGCCATCTTGAGTCCAACCCCAGTTCTCCCTCACCCTCCTGGTGAGGGGGACTAAACCATAACAAAATGTTTTAAAAAAGCAATATTAGTATCAGGAAAAAATTTTTCTGTCTTATAGCACTTTATACACTTACAGGATTGGGTTGACAATTTTCTATATTTTCCTCATTGTCAAGAAATCTTATTAAAACACATAAACCAGCAATGAGTTCATTCTAGCTATTATCTAATACCAATAGTCAGCACCTGAAAATAGCTCAACAAAGGCACCAATTATGCCTGTATTAATACTTTTTGCTAAAAATCTTATTTTTAAGGAAATTTCTACTTTTGTTTTCAATAATGCAAATCTTCAGGAGGAATAAATGGTCTTGGGGCTGAGTGATAAAGGGAAGTCAGAAAATACTGAGTGATAAATGCTTGGGATTTGTTGACAGTAAGCAGAATGTGCAGTAGAAGAACGCTAGCCTTATTTTGTTCAGTGTTGTTGGCCAGTGAACAACATGATAAAAGAATAATAGCATTTTTAAGATTTGTCTGAAATTCTAAACCTACTTTACAGCTGCTCTTATGGTAAAATCTGCACTAAGATGCATATCCATTTTGGTGACAACTAATACAGGTGAGGAGATGTTGGCTACAGATAAAAGAAACGTGTTAACATATACTTCTTCTTTTCAGAACAACAGAGAACTGGTTTTCTCCCACTTCAACCTGGAAAAGGGGTTTTCCTAATTACACATTAGAGATCTTTCTTCTAGGTAAAAGTCTCTTATGCAACAGCAGAGGCATTGTATCATGAAATCTTTGCCATTTATTTTCTTTTTTTTGCAGGGACCAGAAGGATTTTACAGGCCTGAGTACAGCATGTGCTTTTTTCTTTCAGTATCAGTGATTTAAGTAAAATAAAACTCACTCATCTGTGACATTTGCCCACATGCAAGAGCTTGTCTCCTATCACTTTTATCTTCAGTACATAGTTCTTTATCAGGTTGTGGAAACAGGGGTCATTGCTTTGAAAAAACTGGAAGCTTTTCACATCAAACTGTTTTATATGTAATCCTATTAACTACAAGTGCAACATGTCAAACACTACAGTTACTGAGCTCCACGCACTGCTAGAGACGTTTGCTAGCAACTACAGGTTTCATATTTTCTCTGTTTTTCTGTCTGCACATGAGTGAGATACTGAGAATCCCAAATTCACTGACCTCTTCTCCTGTTCCTCTGGTATTTCCACAACTTTGGGAACTGGCAGGTGTCTTTTTTCTTTAGGTACCTGGAAGGAAAACTTAGGACTGTAGGAAACTATGTCTGATTTTTAATATTTTCATGCATCATGTTTGTCAGAGTATGTCTGAGGTAATTCAGAGGTCTCTGCTCAAACAGAGGTCATTTACTATTAACATAAAAATATGTAAAGCACCCAAGTTTAGCTGCTACAGTTCTTATTTACAAGTCAAGTAAATTTCTGAATATGCTAATCTTCTTCAAATAAAAAAAAGTTGCTTCTTTGCTCTTTGTCAGCCACTTTCTAGATGATCTTGATGCACGTGACTTTTTTTCAGACCTTGTAGTAGTCGTAGAGCAGGCCCAGGGCATTGGCGCTGTCCTCATCCCCATTGATGCTCATCATGGCCTTGGTGGCAGCAGTCAGTGGGTTCTCGAGGTACGACCTCCATGCCTCGTCCTCACTGGTGTAGGCCCGCCGCACTGCAGGGAAGGTGCTCTCATTGGGAACCACCACCACCAGACGCTTACTGACAGACATACAGAAAGAAATACAAAAACATCTGAATGCAAAAGTAAATGAATGTATGTACAGAAGGGTGACAAATGGCCTTCGCAGTCACCAGATCTCAACCCAGTTGAACACCTATGGGAGATGTTGGACCGACACATTAGACAGCATGTTCACCACCATCATTAAAAGAACAAATGAGAGAATATCTTTTGGAAGAATGGTGTTCATCCCTCCAGCAGAGTTCACAGACTTGGAGAATCAATGCCAAAGAGCATTAACGCTGTTCTGATGGTTAGGTTTTCCTTCCATTTGTCCACCATCTGTAGATTAGATGAACTAATCTACTGGTTTTATCTTCACAGTAAAATATGATTGTTTCTCTCTGTCTTCAGTTATTTGAATGAGTGGAGTCCAAAAGTAAGAAATTGATTAAAAAAAAGACCCTATTGCCCCTTTCATGCCTGTCTTGTGTGTGCTTGTGTGTTGTTGTTTCAGCATAATGTCACACCTTCCTGAAAAGTCTGAGATGTAGACATTTATAATATGGTGTCCTCAGACATGTTAGGATGCTTGAATCAAGCTGATATTGTTTACTTAATATCAACAAGAAATTTTAACCAGGAATATTTTATAGATGTGAAATCTGCTGTAGGCTCTGCCTTTGAAATTAAAATAATACATTTACAACATAAAATAACTAATTTGTTTGTAGACTCATGCCTGTCAGATCTTCCTACCAAATAAACACATTCATCCCACCACCCAGTCTCTGATGTCATACTGATGCAAACCTTCATAGATAAAGATGCACTGGTGGAAAAGAGGCTGCGACGGACAACACCCAGGATGAAGCTGTCTGCCTATGTAAACTGTCAAGTTGTAGATGGTTCACTTTTATACTAACTAAATTTAAGTCTATACCTTTTTTCCAGCTTTGGAAGAATCTTGAACGCATCAATTGATAAGTCTTCCCTTTCACTAGCTACAAAGCAGACTGTTTTTTACTGATTTGCATTTATCACAAATTCTACTCAACATTTCCATGGCACCACAACTGGACAACTGATGTGCAGATATAAAAACACCCTAAATAGTGTTTTTAGATTTGAACAATTTTTATGGATCTGGCTCAATATTACCAATATGCAGCAAAATAGTGCAACACACCTGTTGTTTTCACTACAGCGCTGATTCGGGATGGATAAAACACTGACACTACAGAGTAACTGAAACATTTACTCCAACTACATTTGAACACTTAAAGACATTTTGTGGTTTTATATTTAAATGCATACCTCTGCATTAATCCCACCACCACCACCACTACTACTACTAGTACCACTACTACTAACAATAATAAGTTACTAACAACTGTCCTATTTCAATAATAATGCATGTGTGTAATCATTATAACACTCAGTAATTTATCTTATTATTAATGCAGTTATTCATATCTATAATAGTATCAAAATCGTTTTTTTTTTTTATTACTGACGGGATATAGGCAAAGTAAAACAGATTATAACATCTTGAGATTTATGTCAACACACTGCCATTTCTGATATGTTATAAGATATTACATTTAGGCAGATTAGAAATATTTACAAGAACACAATCTCCAAGAAAATGAAGCGAGCAATGACTGTCTTCGTTGCTATAGCTGTAGCCCAAAGGCAACTATTTCTTATTAATGACCTATTAATAAAAGTTTATTGTGTTACAAAACAATAGAGTAGGCCGACATCCTCTATTTCACAAGCAGATTCATCGCGCCCTTCAGGCCTAAAAATCCAGGGGAAAAAGTGCAATGCAAAAGGATGGCTGAAACCTAAAGAAATTGAAATGTTTTAAAATCCAGTTCCTGCACTTTAAACAGTTTTCCATCAGTCAAAAAATGGCGAGTTCAACGCTTAACAAAATCCTCGGCGCCAAGTTTTACCTGTCAGCTTTTCACCGACGCCTGTATTAGTTTAATATTTGTCATAAAGGTATTATAAGCAGGAAGTTAATTCATTTTCATCGACAAAAGCGGACGATTTTAACACAGCTTTCCTTTTGATTAAAGAAAAAAAAACATTTGAAAAAGTTTTTCCCAGTAAGTTGAAATCATCAAAGATCCTCTCCACTGGCTCGATCACTTACTTGTCTGTCTCCTGTGACATATTTTGCTTCCTCTATGATTCTTCCTTGTGAAACTGGACTTTCAAGTCGGAGCAGGTAATAGAGAGAGAGAGTTGCCAGAAGCTGGGCTACAGGTAAGTCGACTTTTCTCTGCCCCTCTCTCTGACTCTCTTCTCCGCTCCACCTGGCAGGTAAAGTCGCTTTTGTCCCCTAGCAGCCAATCCCTCTGCTTGTCTTTCACTGTGTACCTAGGTTATGGCAAATATAAACATATCCTGCTGTCAAGCATTGTAATATTTGCATTGGCTTGCTTTAATGGCAATGGGTAAACTTTGGCTGAAATTCTTTCACTATAAAAGAATTGTGAGAGTGAGGGCGAGTCTGCCGCTGATTGGCTGATGCAGAGAGGAGCTGGGCTCTGATTGGCTGCTCCGTCAGAGAGGCAGGTAGAGGCCCACCTCACCTGCAAGCAAACGAAAAGACGGTATTGATGGCACCACAGTGATACCGAATACAGGGAAACACAGGCTCATATTTTGAGGGTCTACACTTGAAATGAAAACAGACTTTTGAACCTTTAGTATGATTTTAGAAATTTTAAAAACCGTGATGGTGCTTATTAGTTAATGGCTAAATGGAGGATTTGATGCATGGTTGCACAGCCTCATAAACCCTTTCCCCCTCTAAACGTTAATAATAACTTTTCTGTGTCTCAGAGTGCACATGGAGGCAGGGAGGAGCCCTGTCATTAGCTGACACAATGCCATTGTCCTCTTAATGAAGCCACTGTGTAAGGAGGTCCTAGTGTTTGGGATTACCCTGCTGGAGCAAACAATGTGTGTGTTACATACAATGATGGGACTCTGCTGAGGTGTGTTGCAATACTTTGTCTGCTGACCCTAAAAACCTTTTTTTTTTGTTGTTGTTCCTAAACAAATATCATAGGGACACTTTAAATGACAGATAAGGAATAAAATGGCAACAAACAACTAGGACCTCTAAATATATATAGCTTTATATACCTGAATGCAATTATTAGTGCAGGTCTAGTATGTATAATGTATCATATTGGTATGGATAACAGTTGTTATGGATGTAATCAATGTTCATCTTCATTTTTGCTAATCATTTGGTTCATTTCACAGATGTAATGCCCACCAGAAAAATGGATGAATTTAGAGAAACGGTTGGGATGCAGTTTTCAAACTGGTTTCATGTCTCATGAAGATGTTTGCATGATAAAATGCAGGCCTTTTGTTTATGACTGCCTCAGGCACCCTCGTATGGAAATCTAAAAATTACATTTCAGATTCAGTTTAACCGTCAGTGGTGTTGTGTCTGTGTTTGCGTGTGTGTGTGAGGAACAAGCATGTGTATGTGTGCCCTGCGGATGATCGCTACTATCCTCCCTTGTCTAATTTGTTTTACAGAACACCTGGGCCTTTGCTGAGGTCTGTGCATGTGTGTTTAAATGGAGCTGCTAGACAAATACAGGTGGGGTCCTTCTAACAACACACAGGCAGAAAGATGAACAACAAAGAAACAAACATCAAGGAAATAATAAAACTCAAAGTAGGAGAGAAAAAAATAAAGAAAAAGATGAACAGCTGGTGAATTCCAAGCATATTTCTCTTTATCTTTATTACCTCCTTTTCCTATAAGCATGGGTGGATTACAGAATGAGCCTCTATTTGTAATTACTACTAACAATTGTGGTTGGAAAATCAGTACAAAGCTACACAGTAAAAGACACAAAACTACCACAGAGAGATGCAAAACTGCCACAATAGACATACAAGAGGTGTAAATCAACCAGGAGGAGATGCAAAAAAGAATGTGAAAAGATGCAACAGAGTATGTTACCAGGGACCTGTTGCACCATGTTCCATTGGTGCACATGAATTATGAATGCACATTATGTTTTGCTTTCTTTAATAAAAATAATGGACATGTAAAAGCATTTCCCTTATCTGTACCTTTAGCTACATGACTTCTCCCTGCTGGAATGTCTGCCATGTGGCTATTTGACAGCTGAAATAGTACGAGGGCTACCGTGCAGGTTGCCACAAGCATGCACAGGCAAGACTGGGAAGTCACAGAATACCTTCCTCTGTGGTCATGAGTGTGTGTGTGTGTGTGTGTGTGTGTGTGTGTGTGTATGTGTCCCACTCTGTGAGAGAGGATAAAGGTGTATCTACATACCAGGAGTTTTTTTGTGTAGGGAGAAGAAGCTTGTCTGGACTTGGCCAGGATTACGTGTTCAGTTTACCTGTTTGAGTACTGAACCTCACAGATGAGCCAGAGACAGAGAAGCATGCTGTCCTCCACATGGACAACAGTGAGTTATAACAGATTAGATACAGTTAGGCTGGCTGTGAGGGCCATAGGACACTGTACTAGTCATTTGATTTTCATCCTCAAAGTGCAACTTCGCATCATCTGTGGAAGCGACTCAAATCACCCCTTTAGATTTCTCCTTTGATTTTGTGAATTCAAATTATTTCACACATTCAAGTAAGTGGAGCAGTTCCCAAACTGGGAGGGTTCCTGGACCTACCCAAAGGTATTCACATGGTTAGTATTTCATCAGTGCAAGTATTTAAAATCATTATAGCAAAAGTTCAGACACTGATTCATTTTGGTTGGTGCTGAGTCTGTATGCACTGTAAAAAGAAAAGAAAAGAAAAAGACCTTAATTTTTATGATGAGCAATTCAAGATCAGACAAACACAAATGGATATATTCAAGACTATCCTATGAATAAAGGTTTCAGATGTTTTCATAGGTTTTGTTATTGTTTTACTTGTATCATCTTTTTATGTTTTATTATACTTTTATTAGTATTTCATTTTCTAATCTTTGTATTTTACTTATTTACTTTTGAAGATTGCTATGTATTAAAAGGTTGTTACGTACATTTTTATAGACTGTTCTACAAAATATTTTGCATGCGTGATCATTCAGACTGACACTATTATTCTATACTTTCCACACTAATATGCACAGATTTTGAGGACGTGATTTTAAAATTCTACAGCATAAATACAATCAGTTGTCCAGGCATTGTCAGCTGTAAGGTTAATAATAAACTAATCAATGCTAACCTATATGGTCTTTAAAAAATCAGACATTCCATAACATTTGTGTTAAAACTGCCATGCGCTCCAATGCTGTTGACTCCATTCACTAATGGTCACAACTGGCCCAAATATCAGAGAGGTTGGTGAGCTCTGTCACCACCTTCACAATCAGCCTCTGTCTGACCAGTGTATACCTACTTCGACCCCACATCTCAGGTCTCCTTCAGTTCCACTCTGTGTGTCGAAGCGTGCAAGCGTGTGAGTGTGTGTTGCTGTTAGATATTAACTATTTTCTCCCTGAAGGCATGGTTTGCCATTTTTGATGTAATTTCTAGGGGCATCTCAGGGTCACTTTTAATCAAACGCAAACACAAATGCATTTGCACTGTGTACTGTACAGTAATATTAAGTTTGCTTTTAACGTCTGCTTCTTAAAAGAGGTCAACAACTCAGATTTGTGTGATACTGGTGGTGTAATTTTTACTGTAAAAGCACTTGTGTTATCTCCAGCATATTCTCTGTGTGTGCTATATATGTCAATCAAGTGCTCCAAAGGCAGTGGTGAAAGTTACCACCAACATGTGGATGTGTTGTGACTGTGTCGTGGCTTGTGTACAGCCTGACTGGTATGGCAACATTGTGGCATGTTACGATGCTGTAGCAGCAGCGGCAGCAGTGGACTGTGGCAAAACCTGTTGGTTTGGAAAAAGAACAAGGGGAAAGCGTCAGGAGGAGTAGCTGGGAGAGGAAGTGACTAATGAGGAAGATGAAAACCAGCTTCCTCTTCCCTCAACAACCTATAGAGAAAGAATGAGGCAAGACACCTATTGGTTGCCAGAGTCAAGCATGGCAGAATAACTGTCTCTTCCCTGTAATGCATCTATAAAAATCATATTCCTTGACACTGGCTTAACCTCATGAAAGATCAGTGAGCTCAGATATGTAGTCATGTAGTGAGAAACAAAAACCAGAAACTGCAGTGTGACAGATAAAAGATAATTAAGGACAAAAGCTTACTTTAAAAGGAATCTTGGCTGAGCCGAAAGTGAACCTGAAAGCCCTTGTGGCGGGAGGAAGGGAGCCAAATGGGAAAAATTCTCAGGCTGTCTGTGGCAAACCCCTGCTTGTTCATAAGCACAATGGAAAGCCAGATAATATTCTCCTTTACTATTGAATAGCTGACACCTGGAAGATTTGTTTTCACACGGGCCCTAAGGCTGGACAACCCCACCCCAAACCTAAGCTAGCAAGTCCCTGCAAAACAACCTCCAGGGTAGGAGAACTTGAGCAATGTGTGGCTTTTGTCATTTTTTCTACATTTTTTTCTCTTATTTTAGCCCCATTCTGGAAGCATAATCACATCCTTTTCTCTTGAGAGATATTTCCCCCATTGACAAAAGGCTGAAAGGATTCTCTCTATCTTCTTAGGATTGGGGGGGGATGGGAGTGGGAAGAAAGATGTTGGTGAGAGGACACAATGGCTGGCTGGTGCCTTTTCTCACAATGATACAGTTTCTCTCAAGAAAGTCCTGACACCTAACTGTCGGGAAGATTTCCAACGTAAATGAGTACTTAGGGAATAAAATAAACACAGTGCTTCCTGCACTTCTGTTCACTTTGACTTATTTTTCTAATAAAGACAAATAAATTAATGCACTGGACTACAAAATACAACCTATGATTTCATGATATTCTCTATAAACTTACTGATATCTTGAACTCATTTTGCTAGCATGTGAGTTTGTGTTTCCATCATGTGATAACTGGAGTTGCAGTTCATTTACATATTAGCTGAATTTAGTCAAATACTGAGCAGAGGTGATCAGCTGCACTGTTCCCACCTGACAGCAAAAGTAGTCAAAGATAGAGAAGTTAAATATTCAGTGCAGTCCATGTTGCATCAGGTGTATTTTGCATGGTTGCAGTGGGCTATGTCATGTTCATGACCATTGGTGAACATAATACAGATGCTAGTGGAGCTGGATGAACACTTGCAGCATGATTTAACCCTGATGTTTGTCTGATATCTCCCATAAAATCTCACTCACCAAAACATACAGTAGTTCTGCATGCCTGACCCCTAGTGTCACTTACAGGGAACAACACTTTCACTGCTAAAATCTCACAGCTGTTAATAAGGGTTTATAGTACAGCAAAAATGTTATACAATATTATTTTGTTGAAAACCAAAATTTATTAAGAATAATTTAAGGCACAAAATCTTCAAAAAGGCAGAGAAGAATGACTCAAAGAATGGTAGACAAAGTCAAGTCTGATGCCTCCATGTAGCCTACAGCCTATCCCCATAATCTAAAACAATTAAAAATGTGGAGTAAGTAAGATTGGTGAGATGATATGGGAAAAGTTTTTCATCTCCTAATTCCAATCAAATAATAAGACACCATCAGCCCTGTGCCTGCAGACACCATGCACCAGTACAAAATCACATCAAACCTTTCAGTGTAGTAGTAAATAAAACAATGGATAACAGAAATCTGGTACTTTTTTATCGTAATACAATACAATATTTAAACATAAATTATAATTTCAACTAATTTGTCATCTTAAAATAGCTGCTTGTGTTTCTATCACTTTGGGTGGCATGTGGTAACCAAAAGCCGCCACTTGGGGGCAACATTGACTAGCTCTGCGTCCTGGTGGTGCATTCATGAATTCCTCCTATAATCTTAAACAATATTTTATCCAGCTACCTTACTTCCTACGGACGTCAAACACAAACGCTTCTGATAGCAAAAACTTTGAATACTTACATTAATTTTTACTTACTTACTTATTACATTTATATCGAATATAAGTTTAGGTTTCTAACCCATTCAGCTATACAATTGCTATAAAAACTAAAATGTGAACGCAGCACGAGCTTTCAGTTGTCTGTGAACGCAGCATCTGTCACGCTTGTGTGCGAGCACTCACCAAACCACACGTATTCTTACGAGGTAAGAATGGCTGTAATTTAAATATATATAAGCTGTAACGCACTATTGATACTGGTTTTAGGTAACGTTTGACTGAAGGCAGTATTATTTTTTGTTAGTTAGGCGGCTATTTAACGATATATCCACAAGAACCTGCGCCTAGCATGTAGCTAACGCTAACCCACGTTACAGCTGATTGACACCAGCACCTCAGCTTTGGCTAATAGCTGGATTAGTGCAGTTGAAATAAAAACTGTTTTCACGAGAAAACCCTCGGGTGGCAACTCATAAGTTTTGTCTTAAAAAGCCTAACCTGAGTGGATTCATGAAGTTTGTATTGTAACGTGAAGCGACTAGATAGCTGGGTTAAGATATGAAACATCAAAACAGCACAGCTAATGTTAGGAAACGATAGTAGTCTCCTCGTTGCCCATATCTGAGGAAATGTATCACTCGAATGACCTCATGCTAGTTTTAATATTGGGCAAACATTTAACTTGTATACTCAGCTTCCATATGAATTCTCTCCCATTCTTTGGCACATTTATTTGTGTATTATTAACTATGCTGCAAGCACCCAGGAGCAAGAAATAATCTAACATATGGTATTGATAGAAGTTAACATCGAGTGCTTAGCAGGCTTACTTGTATTTTCTTAAATGTAACCATCTCTAGTCAACACTTAATACATTGCTGACTAGCAGCTGACTATTTATAGAAGTCTATCGTAAAAGCACGGCTGGATTGCCACCAGTGAAAAGTGGGCAGCTGCCTCAAGTGTCTCGTGTTCAATAAGTGTATGTTATATAGATTAATTGTACATTTGTTAGGAAATACGCACCACTTAAGCACAATATAGACTAAAAGATATTAACCTTGTGGTGGTGCTGCATTATTACCAAATCTTGAGCACAGCTAGTAAGCGGCCCACTGCTCATTTTTGCCCTGGAGCGCCTTTATGGATTAATGTGGCAACACCAGTAGTATGCCTTCATCATCATCATCATTAATAATAGGGGGTCTCATTGTAGTTGTGGACATAGACAGGTGCCCCATTCACATGCCCAAACCTTTACCTGCACCCACATGAACTATCAAGGAAGGATTTTGTTGAAAGTGCCACCCATAAAGTATAAGGTGGATGGGAGAAACTAGCATTTCCAGTAGAAATCCATATTTAAATGCCTGTTGGCACAGGAGAGAAGCTGTTCCTTCATGAATGCTAGCTGGAAACATTTCTGTAGCACAGCCACATGCCACACCTGGTAAGCTGCTTCATGTTAAAGGCCTATACATTCATTAAGATAAATAAAACCATGAACTGCATGGGGGTATGAGCTATGTTGGTGAAGAATGAGGAACACAAAACCAGATTAGAAATTAAGATAAACATTTCTAATCAGGTTTTGTGCTCCTCATTCTCAACTAACATTGCCCGTACCCCCATGCAGTTCATGGTTATATGAACCTGCCTGCTGATAGTGTTTCACTGGAAACACGTGCTTTTCAGTTCAGATCACACTGGAGCTTTATCTTGTTTACTTTGCCTGATAAAGTTGTAGTTGTTAGTTCTTTTCTTGCATTTTACATTGTTTATATTCACTAAACCTTTAGCTGCCTATAAGAAATGTCTTGCACTGGCCTTGTAAAAGTCTGAAGGAGCATGCACTATAGATGGAATTGCTTGTGTTACAGACCATAATTTGTAATGATGTGTTACCCATATATTTGTTATCAGTAAATATTCAGCTCTATGTCCTTGTATCCACCTTTGTAGGTTTTTCCAGCATGGCACGTGGGCATCAGAAGATTCAGTCTCAGCAGAAAAATGCCAAGAAACAGGCTGAGATGAAGAAGGCCAAGGGTCACGATCAAAAGACAGCAGCCAAGGCAGCGCTAGTGTTCACCTGCTCTGTGTGCAGGGTGAGTATGAAACCTTAATGTACCTATGGCAACCCAGAGTCCAAAATCTGGACTAGGAAATGGCTTTGACTGATAAAAAATTCTTTGATTATTGAGAGCCATTTTAGTAAATTTTATCCTAATGTTTGGTGGTTGTATTGTCCTCTCCTTCAGTCACAGATGCCTGACCCAAAAACCTTCAAGCAGCACTTTGAGAGCAAGCACCCAAAATCCCCTCTGCCTCCTGAATTAGAAGGTGTGGAGGCATAAATGATCACACGGGATACTGGAAATCTTCAAGGCTGTGCACCAGCTCTGCATTTGTCTCAGTCTGACAGCAATGGATGATTTGATGTAAACAACATGAAGTGGTCGTCTGCATTTAGGCTATGTTCACATAGCCCAAAACCTATTCTTTCTTTTTTTTTTTTTCTTCATCAAAGTGTGAATAAATCAGATCTGGGCAACTTGATAGGTGGATCTAGGTCTGATCTGATCTCTGATTACGCTGGCCGTCAGATCGGATTTTTTTTTTTTTTCATTTCACTCCTCTGCGCATGCACACATTGCCTGTTGCCATCATTCGGTGTTGGTGACTCATAGACGATTGTCAGCAGAGAGATGGGGAAGTTTCCAATTTTCTGGACACTTATGGGGAAGTTTGAGCAACCAAACAAACAGACGGGGAAGTTTCCAATTTTCTGGACATTTATGGGGAAGTTTGAGCAACCAAACAAACACACAATCATGAATGGAAATTGTAAACACAAAAAAAATCCAATTTGACAAAAAAAAGAGTATAATTGAGCATTAAAGCCAATAATATAAACATAGGCTTAGTCTTTTAACAGACCAGGTTGCCTTTGACAGAATCTTTCCTACCTACTAACCCCAAATACCTGCTTTGATTTGAGGGTCACTGAAGACCTTTATGGTCTGTGAACAATCTAAATGGTGAATAAAGATGTCTCATTTCATTCACATAGTTTCTCAAAACAAACTTCACTGCCCCAATGTGTTATGGAATTAGGTATAGAGTATTTCTTGCTGCCAGCTCATGCACCTCTTTATCTGAAGCTGTGGCAGATTAGTTGCCTGGTCAAATCTTTACAACTACAATGCAACATGAGGTAAACACAGTGTCCTTACAAAGAAAAAACTCATCTTGGATGGGATTTAAAGAAAAAAAAAATCTAATCCTTGTTGTGAATGTGATCTCATCTGTTTCATTATTCAATTTCATTTTGCTTTGAATGTTGGGTACTGGATAAATGGTGGCAATGATTTTTTTTTTTTTTTTTTTAATACTCCTAATATCAGTTGTTCCATAGCGCTGTCTGCCCTGTTCTGCTGCAATATTTCATCTTGTTAATCATAATTTTGTCAGATTCTAAAAATGTGAAATGTTGCCAGCTGTTTCAAAGCTGCTACATGAATTTCAAGTAAACTTTTTACAGGAGCTTATCAACAACATTTATATGTTTGGAAATTGAATGTATGCTTACATAATGTATTATAGCATTTTATTAAATTTTACTTTGTTTTATGTCTTTTTCTTGGAACTGTTTGTTTTGATAATTTTATGTGATAATGGTTGTAGGACATAAGATGAAACTGACACCTTGTCTCTACGTAGTATGTGAAAGAAAGGTTTTCAGGCTTGTCGGTTACAGATAGTATGTGCCTCTTCATCTTTTCTTTATTTTTTTGGCTCGATGGATTGAATGATTGAGTGATTTCAAGGTTTGTTAACCTGACAGTTTATTTTTTGTTCAAACTGACTGCACTACTCTGCTTTGCTCACAGTCTATTTTTCCCACATATTATGTAAATGTAAATAGCTGTCCCTGGTAGGCTAGTGGTTAAGGTGCAGCGCTCTCGCCACTGCGGCCCGGGTTCAAGTCAGGGTTGTGTCAGGAAGGACATCCGGCGTAAAACACATGCCAAATGTCAACATGCGAGTCATCAGTGTGACGATTCACTGTGGCGAAAAGCTGAATATGACTCATTATGTAAATGTACGACAATGGTCACTTGTAAATGTACAGTAATTAATGAATACTTGTATAGACATTGCAGTTTCCCATACAGGAGCCTGAATATCTTGGCTGAAAAGGAGACAAAACAGCTTACTTGGACATCATCCCAAGAGGAGAATTTTTTTTATGACTAAATGTTTCTTTAGTGTTGGTTGATGTGGCACCAACTTGACCAAACCAAGCAAAACAGTCCATAAAAGAGTTTACTTTAGCTACACATAAAAGTATAAGCACTTGGTGTCATATTCTAAAAAAAAAAAAAAAAAGATGCACAGAAAATGATGCATTATGCAATAGATTTAGGAGCAGTTTGAGTGTTGATGTCTGCTCTTTGAAAACTACTAGGGATAAAGTATATTAAAAAAATCTAAGCATCTTAAATAATTATTTAAAGGTTCTGATTTTGCACAAATGTTTGCTTTGCATATATTTTGCATAAACACCTGTAGTAAAGTGTAAAGAAAATGGGTTTTATGTGGAAGATGACCTGAAGCAGACAGCGATTCCATTGCCCAATCTGAAATGGATATTTGCTGACAACAGGAAATTATTTAAACTACAGAGCTGTGTGTCTAAGAAAAGCAATGAATCCTATCTGAACTCAAGTCATTTGACCAACAGAATAAGATGTCTCGACTCTTATTCATCACATAAAGCATTCATTTCCTGCATTCCCTTTTCTCAAGCTGTGACAAATGCCTCAATTCAGCTTGGTAACTAAACATTGTATTGCCATCCAGACAAAAAACAGCTATAGTGTTACATTGTATGCACTCAGTCCTTAAAGGCCTCAAGGCACATAATTAAATGCTTTCAAGAGAAATAAGATCCCATATTCTGATAGAAAAAAATGCTGCATGCCTGTTTTTTAAGGTTTGAATGAATCATATCCCACATTGTTCTTCTGTCTCCTCACACATAATTGACCTTCCTTCCCATTTGTAAACTTGTGAATAAAAAACACAAGTTTATCCATACAAACACACACAGCTGCTAGATTTCCTTTGATTGTTATGGCCCGATTGTCTGAATCCAGGCTAACAGGAAAAAGGGGAGCACATGCACAAAATAAATTAATTAGGTGAAGAAATTAATTTGATTCCTATCAGCTCCAGATAATTTAGTTCCAGGCACATCACTCAGTTTGAAAAGATGAAACAACTGCAAACTGGAGACTGCTCTCACTCCACAGGTGGTAATGTTATTGGAAAACAACTCGGGGCCACCACAGCAGCAGCAGCAATACGATAGGTATTCTGTCAATATTTCCATCTGGGCCCAAAACTAGCTCTTGTGCTGTGGCCCGGAAGGCTTGGCCTTCTTCAGTACCACTTTAAACCCCTCCCAAAACTTAATGGACCAAGGTACACCCTGATGAAAACCTGATTATAAAAATTTTCTGTTCTGAAATTTCCCTGTGGCATCAAAACATCTTCCAAACATGTAGAGAAACACTTTTGATTCATGTGTGATATCAGAGGGCCTTATTCATGATATTGCTGTGTGTGCATGTGACTGTGAACATAAATAGTCATAAATTAATTAGGCAGGCTAATTAAAAGTTTTTTCCATTGGTAATAATACGCCAATTGAAACTGTTTGAAAACATGTAGCTTGGTCCAATGTGCCCCTCCTAGAGATAATTTCAATCAACAACAGCAACTAGCATGTAAGACATTTGTACAGAAGAAACTAAGACAAAAAAAAGATCGTGCTAGGCCCGGCCCACTTCCGGGTTATGTTTTATTCTCCTATCTTTTTTAAATTAAAGATCTTGTTGAGTCATTCTTTATAAAATGCTGAAACAGGATGCTGTTTTCTGTTCCTATTTAAGAAACACTGGCATCTATTACTATATTTATTAGCAAAATGTTAACTCTCTTTCGTCATCCCAAAGATACATTTTCCACGATTCTCTGAGGGCGTGGGTGGACGAACGCTCATGGGTGGTGTATTTTTCTACATTCGTAAAACTAGATTTGCACTCAGAAAATATCAGAAGCAGAGAATAATAAAAAGGTGCATTGGACCAAATTGAGACAGACAAAATTGTGTTTTATACGTATTATTTACTAAATTTATATGATAAAACATATTTAGGAAAATATTGGAAAATCTGATAAATATTGGAAAATTGCAGAGTTCATAGCTATAAAACTTTCGCTTTTTTATTTGGTTGCCCTAGCAACTTGCCTCTGACGTCATCTGTCCCGGTGCGACCCTGCTGCTCTGTGTTTGATTGGAGGGAAACCCCGTGGATGAGCGGGAGCGATCATCAGCTGTGTGGTCGGGAATCAGGAACAACGTCGCCTAACGACATTAACAGGTTAGCTTACATTTATGTACTGTTGATGATCGGTGGTATGTTCGACGGAATCTTCGTTATATTTGCTTTGTGTGCCTTGGGAGCGCTTTTAATCTCGCATGAGTTGCTGCTACTGGACACTAGTGATGCTCCGTTGATGATCAGTTATTGTTCGTCGCTTGCTGAATGGGAAGCGCTCGTGCACTTTAACCTATCGATTTGTTTTACTCGGTGTGTCTGGAAGGCAGTTTTCGGATATACCAAATTAGCTTTAGTAAATGAAGCAACCCAAAAAATAATGCTCAATGCTCACAAAAACAATAGCTCTGGTTTGCTTTCCGGGAAGCGAAAAGGGCGTTCACTGTGGACTGAACTAAGCTAGGTTTCTTTCATTTCAGTGCAACTGATTCGGTTACACTACAGGTTCTTGTCTATAATTTTGTGGGACTATTAAGCATTCATTTGTTCAGACATTCACAATATTAAAGCCATCTCATAGGCTGTCTCGTATGCTTGCGGCCACCGTTCGAGCTCGGTGGGCAGGTGTGTGAGAGAGAGAGGGAGAGAGAGAGAAACGTGAAACTGGGTGGCCTACATTCCTCAGAAGGGCGCAGGTGTCTGCGAGTGTTTGACTCAGCGATATAGTGATTTTTGAAACGCTGGAACTATAGGTTTGCTGTTTCTGGGTTTTTACAAGACAGCCGGTAAGCAAAGATCCGCAAAGTTGTACTACTATTGTTTATGTATTGCAGCAGTCTCGCCGTCAACCTGAAACGATGCAAATGAACTGTAAAAACCCGCTAGCTAGGAAGTAACTTAGTCTACATTAGAATGAAATAAAGAAATGCTGGCTTCAGCAGAGGTCCGACAGAACCAATATGGCTCATAATATCTATATCGATAAGTTACAGTACTGTTTTGCTTCAGCTGTGTTCTTAAGGCTGCCTCTTGATTACATTAGCATTTGTGTCCTGTATTTCACCTCCTATTGAGAAAAGAATTTGTTGCTCAAAAAGGCTATTAACTGGCTGAGTCAAACGAATCTTCATTATTCATCACTGTTGTTGTGATAGATCATTTTTGTCTTTTATCAAGCAAAAAATACTACATGTAAATGAGCTTACTTGTGAGTCTGCTGCTTTTTTTTGTCTGGTGGCGATTAGGGGTGTGACGATACACTTGGCTCAGGAGACAATACACAATATTGGGTACAAGAGAACGAGAAAATATTTTAACACCATTTTAAAGAAGTCTTCAACGATGAAAGATATTATTTTGAAATGTTTTAACTAATCATCTTGTAGTGAATGTCATCCCAGTTCTACTTTCTTGGTCTAAATTATCATATGCAATAAAAGACAACAGTATGCAAGCACTATAAAATGTTTTGCCACAAACTCTCTCCTGTTTGATTTCACATGAGTCTCTTCAGATGTTATAACTATGCATGAGATTCTAACTTCTAACTGAAGCCATGTGTGGCCTATGTTATTCTGACCCTCACCACACTGGATGGTGGCATAATCTGGTGAAGGCGCCGCAGTGACAATCACATATGGGGGACGATCGGGATGTGGATGCTCACGGGAATAAGACTCTTTTGTTTATCATGTTGGCATGAGCATTGCTATTCACTGTTGAATTTGGGCCACAATTAATGCACCATAAAGACACAGCATGCGTTTTCGTTAGTACTGGACATTAAATGGCGTTTTTATCTATCAGTTTTCGACACACTGGTGGTAGAATTGGTGCTAAGGTAGAGTAGCCTACGTTAGCGGCACGGCTAACTAAAACACAATGGAAGCTCACAGGCTGGAACTGTGAATGAAGCCACTCATGTTGACTTGTCATAACGTGACTGTATCTACACGCCTACAACACTCCCCTTGCAACCCCCATGCGTTAAAGCACAGCAGGGAGTTGCATTTTTTTTTCTGCCGGATGTGAATGTGCCCTCACTTTGCTGTCAGGCTCTGACATATTGGCTGCTGCTCCAGTTCTGTTATGTACTAGTATCTCACAGAGAATGCACTATTGTCATTTTTCAAGCAAATTTACCTCGTATTGTTTCAGACTGCTTTCATATGAGGGATGTTTTTCAAAACATCTGTGCTTTGTTAGAAAAAATTATTCTACTTTTCTCACATATCTGGTGATTTGATTTTGGACTTCTGGTTGGAAAAACATGCTACTTGAAGATGTCACCTTGAGCTCTGAAGAATTATAGTGGGCATTTTTGACTGTTAACTCTTCAAATTCACTGTTAATGAAAATAATCATTAGCCTCACGCCCCCAGCTCTAACCCAGCATATTGAATAGGTCACCTTGAGCTGCGGGGAATTGTCCTCTTTTATAATAGGGTGGAAAATTAAATGAATCATTAGTTGCATCCCTAATGTTACTTATTTTCTATATTGTGGATATGTTTGGCAGGGCCACGTGATCTAAAACAACACTGTTTAATTCATCATTTTACACATTTCTCATCAATGTGGAGAGTAAAACTCCTGTATAGCCTACACATAACCACTTATTCTTGGTATATTTCCAATTATTTAGATGCCAGCTGAATTTAGTTATCAGTATAAGTCAAGTCTGTGCCAGACTTAGTGCAGTTAAGCTAGGTTGGATAAAAGCCAAAATCCACTTTAATAATGCTGGTGTGCCCACACCCAAGATGCGGTTAGTATTGAAAAAAATTCCCAAGCATTGTGAGAGACTGAAACACTGATCAGACTAAACAGCAGCAGAAAATAATGCAAGTAAGAGTGAACAATGTACCGAATGTTTTCTTTAAATCAGAGTAGTCAGGGTATTTACCCTGATTTAGTCCCTGTTAAATAATTGCAAATTTGTGTCTTCAAGTAGATTTGTAAAACATAATGGGAGGATTCCTGAAAGTCAGCATGTTTAAATGCATTCCTGAGAAATCAGGTTACACAGGAAGGATAATGTGTTCACATGCGCTGTAGTCCTTCATTCTTGTTCCCTTTGTTTTGTCCTTTCTGACTCCCTCTCCTCTGTCCTTCCTTAGCCCACACAGGAGCCATGACAGACAAGGAGGATCAGGTACAGAAAGCCAAACTGGCTGAGCAGGCTGAGCGCTATGATGACATGGCCGCAGCCATGAAAGCAGTTACTAAGGCGGGCTCAGAGCTCAGCAACGAGGAGCGCAACCTGCTCTCTGTTGCCTACAAGAATGTTGTGGGATCCAGGAGGTCCGCCTGGAGGGTGTTGTCCAGCATAGAGCAGAAGTCTGATGACAGTGCCAAGACTGCACAAGCTAAGGAGTACAGAGAGAAGATCGAGAAAGAGCTGAGCCAAATCTGCAGTGATGTATTGGTAAGAGGCAGAGACGGTGAAGAGGGGAGTGGATAAAGCTGCATTCACATTACAGGCCTTATTGATCAGTTCCAATCTTTTTGTCAGATTCAAACTTTTTGTGTTGATAGTTCACATTCATGTTTGTAAGTGACATCCTAATACTTAACAAAATCAAATGAAATGAGTCACATGTTTACAAAGATAACAATAGCATCATACTGTATGTGTGATGGCCAAATCACACAATTTCCTCATAAACTGTTTGGTTGTGACATGTTCCTTCCAGTTTGGCATGATCTGAAGCTATTCCAAATTTGATTATATAATCGTATAGTAAAAAGAAACAGACATTTGATCTGAAAATTATTTTTTCGATTGTTAAAAAAAAAAAAAGCTACCATGACTGCTGCCCCTGGTTCTCGCATGGGCCTGGGCCACTGTACTAAATGCACTGCGTGACAGACAGGAGAAATGCTCAATGTTACGTGCTGTAAAGATGGCACAGAGTTTACAACCCAACATAGCTGCAAGAGAGAGTGATTTGTACCCCAAACTACCTAAAAAGCCCTGTTTGGAAATACTTCAGATCTTGGTCAGTGGATAGCAAAATTGTCAAACCTTGAGATAAAGTTGTGTGTAAGCTAGAGATAGCTTACCATTCCACCACTAGCAACCTTGAAAATATGCACCCATATTAGCATGGTCTGGCACCCAGAACTCCAGCCAAACAGCCACCTCTGGGCTCATATTTTATGCCCCCTGCTCTGTCTACAGCACAACAAGCGGTGTGCACAAATAAACATATTTTGGTCATATCCAAGGACACAAGGCTGATCAGTATAGTTGATGGGACGGACTTCAGAGAGTTCTGTCAAGAATTGGAACCACAGTACCATAGTTGTGCAATGTGTAGGTATGTCAGTCTTTAAAGAGACATTAGTGTTAAAACTAAAGTACTAATGCCTCTCATTGTGTTAGTTTGCCCTCCTATGGACATAATGCACAAAAATAGATGTTCGATTGTTTGTTTGTTTGTTTTATTTAATGACAAATAATAAAAGATCATTTTGGCCAGTTCTGGTGACATTAGTTCATGCTTTTGTGTGAAAAGATCAGGTCTGAGTCACTTGGAGGGGAAAAATCAGGTTTGAGTCACTTTGCCAGGTTATGTGAATGTAGCTTAAGAAGAAGAACATGAGTAAATGCTTCAATACAGACTGATAGATAGGAAGACAGTGAAGGTGTAATAAAGTTAAAGCTCAGGCGGTGTAGAGAAAATTGCTGAGAACTGAAAGAATGAAGAAAAATACTCAGCCACTTCTCCCTGACTACAGTGCTTCCAGCCTGGCTGGGGCATAGAAGTCTACTTTAATTTGAAGGGCTACTGCTTTGGTATCTCTCTGCCTAGATTGAGAGCTTATCTCAGCACCGCTAAAGAAATCTTCTATAAGGCGCATGCATCACTGTTGTATTATTGGCAGTGTGCGCAGTCACACTGAACCAAGCAGCAGTCTGCTACACAAGAGCCACCGATTTTGAACAACCCACATTAGCTTTTCTGCTAACATTTCCCTAACTCATAAACATGAGCTAATGATAAAACAGACTTGCAGAAAAACTATATTTATGTGCATAATGTTATCCCAGTTGGGCCAGCTCTTTTGGATTATAATTAGTTGTGGAGTTTCCATTTCAGTGCATGGGAACTGAAAAGCCAGCAAGGGCTTCATCACTGCCCTAGGTTGGCTGATGTGAATATGGTAGCTGTATAAAGGGGACCTTAAGTTGTCAGGGAACATATTGGGCATCTTGAATTTGGAAAGAAAAAGAGTTTAAGTAAGCATAAAGTTCAAATGTCCTTTTCATGTGTGTTCATGCATATAGAGGGATGATATTTTAAACAAAGGCTGGATGGACCTTCGTATTTGGATAATATGGATACACCTTGTATTGACACATTCACTGTCATTCCAAGGCACAATCCTGTGAATTTACAAGGGAAGCTGCTTTGAGGTTTCTGCATTTAAAAAAAGAAAAAAAAAAATTCAATCCCTTTTAAATGTATTGTTTAAACCACATATGCTGACTGTTCTGTCCCAAAGTGTAGGTTGTATACTTTTATTCAGCTCTCTTTACAGGGATAAGACCTGTCATGCTGCTGTGTTGTAATTACTGATGACCAATAAGCATTTTTTTCATTTGTCTTGTAATATATGTTTGAATATTTTTTTTTGAATATAAAAGGACAAAAGAAACTTACCTGTCACCTCATGAGCTGACTTGTAACAGCTGGTGTAGTTGCATTCCACACATTTCAGTGCTAATGTTGCATATTTTAACTTGCAGGAGCTGCTTGACAAACATCTGATTCCCAGTGCTACACCTCCTGACAGCAAAGTCTTCTACCTGAAGATGAAGGGGGACTACTTCCGCTACCTGGCTGAGGTGGCCACTGGCGAGAACAAGCAATGTGAGTCAAGCACATCTCTTCGTATCCTGATACAGTTGCATTTATTATTGCATCATTGTCCTTCATTAACAGCTTCTCCATCCATCTCTCATGCTATTGTTTAAAGAAATTGGACAGAACAGTCAGATTATTATACTCGAGGTTTATTATCGATATGCAAGATGCTTCAAATGTATAAAAAAAAAAATTTATGGTGCCACCTACTGCTAACAACAAACACATTCTGCTGTGTGATCAGGCCCTTGTTTCTGTACCAGTCGTTTGCTACACATACAAAATGGGATGAATGTGTACTGATTAATCATCCTTAAAAATCCTCCTGGAGATGAGGAAGCTACAGTAGGCTTGCTTCAGTTGTTGTTTGTGGCCAAAATACTGACACCCTTCATGTCCTTGACCAGCATCTGTCAGCAGAAATGTAGGTAAGGGCTGCTGCAGGGTTGTCATGGCAACAGGAGTGGCACAGGAGGCATTTTTAGAGCTTCTCTGTTGGCTGTGGCAACCTGAACTACCAGGGTGAAGTTTTAGTTTAGGTTGTCTTGTGAATTGTATTGTTTTCTTCAGCAGTGTATTTGTAGTGAAAATCTCAGAATTTAGATCATTGTTTCATCTCCTTGGAAAATCCTAAATCTTTTTTTGGTAGTTTGGAACCTTTGCTTGTTCAGTCTTTGATCCATGTGACTGCATTTTAGCTTTTGGCTGTTAATAGTAAATATAGCAAATGTTATAAGCTTGTTTCCCATTTAAATACCTGCTCGATGACTGTTCTGTCTTCCTCTTTGTAGCAATCATCGAGAACTCACAGTCAGCATACCAGAGCGCCTTGGATATCAGCTACAGTGAAATGCAACCTACACATCCCATCCGCCTAGGCCTCGCTCTTAACTTCTCTGTCTTCTACTATGAGATCGTCAACTCACCTGAAAAGGCCTGCCAGCTAGCCAAGACAGTAAGAACTTTCCTCTGTTTGCCTTAGTGTTTTATTTCTCTTCACTGCTTCACTTTTGTGTTTGTCTCCACTGCATGTCCTCTAAAATAAGAATTGTCCTGAAACTGGTGAAAATTGTATTATGTGATTAAAGGATGAGCCCAGTCATTTTCTCTATTAACAGTATTTTCAACAATCCCTCTATTCGTGGTATTCATGGTATTCATGATAATGTCTGTCAAGCTCCAACCTGGATTAGATTATTTGTTCATGCCACAGACCTCCGGCAGAATCAACTGCGCAAGATCTCTGAAAGCTTGAGGAGCTAGCAGACTGTAAACAAGAGAGCTTGCATGGACTCTTCCTTACTTCAGATGCTGTAAAAATGTATGCGCGTTTGGAGCTTTTGAGGCAACATTTTAACAAATATATGGGTTTGGTGTTTTGTAATGATGAAATGTGTCACCCAGTACAGCGATGTGTTTCACTGGTGTGTTTATAATCATTTTTGAACAACATTGGAGGGCTATGGCACAGATGAATTGGCTGATCCAGGTTGGAGACTGACAGATATAAACCATGAGTAGAGACAATCACTGTTGGTTTTAGTCTCTGTAAAGGCATTGTTGAAAGTACTGTTAATGTAGAAAATGACAGACCTTATCCTTTAAGTTTACCTGGAAGCTGAGGTGTTCAACCTGGTTGATATTGGAGATGGGCAATGATCTTTGAATCATTGTTGAATATTTCCTAATGAATATCAAATAGCATTTTAGCTTGAAATGCCCATCCCAGGTTTATATGATTGAGAAGCCTCCATTTCCAGTATCTGTACCCACCGTTGCCATTAGGAACGGTGGGGCTTTGCCATCATAAGCTCTATCATAAATATTAAAAGAACTTTGGTGGTTCAGTTTAATAATCCTGTTATTATTCTCAAAAAACACTTGTGTATTTACTTGATTTTTCATACTAAAGACCTCCTACCTTTCACCATGGTATCGTTTTTAATATCAAGCACAGCACAAATGTAACCTTCATCTTAATGCCTGCTTGTTGTGGAGTTTTTCATTCAACTCGTATTTCATTATTGCTGTGCCATTGCTTATTTAAATCTATATTCAGCTGGTTTACAATTTACAATGGCTTTGGGGGGGTTATGCACTTTGCTTATGGAAATACTGATGGGTGTCTCTGGCTCGTCCAGGCATTTGAAGATGCCATTGCCATGCTGGATTCCCTCAATAGTGACTCCTACAAAGACAGCACCTTGATCATGCAGCTGCTCCGTGACAATCTGACAGTGAGTGTTTCAACTTTGTTTCCCTGCACATCAGCCATGTCTCACACTCAACCTTCTGCTTTCTGCTGTCTGTCATATCTGACCTGATTTGGCTAAGCTTCATATTGTCAGATTTGACTAAATATTTGAGATGCAAAGGGAAGTGTGAACTAACCCTAGTATCGTGTTTTATTGCAGCTGTGGATGGCAGATCCCCCGGAAGAAAGCGAAGCAGAGTTGCCGGAGCCGGAACCTGAGAAGAACTGAACTTAAGAGAAAAAAAAACCCTCATTTTTTTACCTCTCACCAGCCTAGGTTGTGTGCGTGGTTGTGTGTGCACATACATGCACAGATATGTATGTTTACACTCCACTTACAATGTGTAAAGTACAGTATGTGTGCAGATACATGGAAGTGTGTGTTAACTGTATGAGCACCTCCACAGAGAAAGAATGGAATAGCTATTTTCCCCCGTTTTTGAACATTACCCATTGTGAACCAGTGGATTTTTTTCCTTTGGTTCTGTTTTTTTTTTTTTTTTTTTTTTTTTTTTTTTTTTATTCTTCTTTTGTTTTTTGTCTATGGTTTAGTCCAGATGAAATCCCTCCTCTAGATCCAAATCAGCCACTCACTCGTTCACCTTATTCACTGTAGCAAACTGCTGCTGTTGCAGGAAAACAAAAACCTCTAACTGTAATTTTGATAATTTGTATGTTTTTACTTGAGCTGAACGATTTTTGTTACACTTGGGTCTGCAAAAACTGTTTGAAGCGTGTCAGCTATATAACGGTCACAGTGGTCTGACTTTGCCAAGTTTTTGATTTCAATGAAAATAGCAGTGATTCTATAGATGGCAGAATTTAGCTTGTTAAAGATATTGCCATATTGCTTGTATCCATCCCGCCCTGTCGATGTCCAGTGTAGCAGGTCGTAACTTTATGGAAGGTACATATGTCACGGCTCAGTGGGTTCTAGGTGCATTCGGGTGTAGGAAAGGTTTTCGGTATGGATGGCCGCTTGTGAAAACTGCAGTTAAACTTGGGTTAATATATATTTTTGTTGACAGGATTGCATTCCATTTTACTGACTTCTTTTCACGCAGTGAAATGCGTAGACAAATTTTCTGCAGTTCTCCATACCACATGGCAACGTTTAGACAGCCTATAATAAAATGAACAACCTGACAAAGTGGCTCAATACTGTAACTTTTGATATTTTATCTTTTCAGCAGTGCAGAGGATACTTTTGCCATGTGCTTTTATGTGGCTTTCTGCTCTTTTCTATTCAAGTGTTTTTGTATTTTCTGTTTTGTGTATTTTATCCCCTTCGACTCCTGATTTGACTCCTGGAATGTATGTGGTTCTCAGTAGTATGGTGTGAGGGTTAGGTGTGCTTTAAAACTGGGAGTTTTTGCTTAGGATTTAGCTTGAAACGGGTGAATTACAGTAACATTTACCTTTCTTGAAACGACATTGTGAAAAATTAAAACCATGCTAAATATAAAGTGATTATAAAAAGTAACTTGGTAGAAAGCTGCATTATGGCCATTTCGTAGTGACAAAGTAGTGCCAGTTTCTTCTAATTACACTGTCTTGGTTTTAAAAGAATGGGATGCAGGATTCAGAATTTGCAAGTTACACTCCGAGTATGTTATTTGGTCATGTGCTTTCATGTAAGTGGAATTAAAACATTAAAATCAAGTGTGTTGTGCTCAATGTGTTTGTTTGCCCTCTGGACCTAAGGAATGACATTTTTACAGCATATTAATGCATATGAAAAGCTGTGTTGAGCCACTGTTGGTTCATCAGTTCAATCTGTTCTAAGTCTTGGAGCACAATCTTAGTAAGTTCTGTTTTTAAAAGTTAACATTTTGAATGTTAATATGTTGAGTCAACTAGACTTTCTATTATGGGGTCTATATACAAAATTCAGCAGCTGAAGATATTTTCAAGTCAGACTTTGCTATACCACTGAAAGACTAGTGAGGTGATTAAAAATTGTAGTCAGCAGTGAATACAAATAGTTTAAATTGTCTGTTGGTAACTATGGTAGTTTAATAGCTGCAGTGTAGCTATGTGCTTTTCATTGACAACACTGCCCTCTGCAGATGGTGAAGGCTGTTATGGGCTATGTGTTCCATGTTATGCTAGTGCAATTTTCCATTAGGGTTAATAAATCTGTTGTTTTTCTGTTCAAATGTAGTTAGCAAAGATCAGTCGGGCTTTAGTGTGTTAGGTGAAATTGCCAAAGTACATGACAGATTATCTGTCCTGCAGCAGCTAAACCATTTCAGATTACCCTATACTGCACAGATATTATTCATTTTTTTTTATAAAGCTGGGGTATCAATATAATTTAATTCATTTCTAACCAAACCTAGAATACAGAGTCTCTGAGAGATGACATGGAGCCAAGTTTCTTGAATTTTGATTTTTATCTGTTCTTTTCACAGCACACTGCTGGTAATAAGTCTACCACATTATACAAAATCAAGATATCAGTTGGTCAATTAGAAAGACATTTGTACGCAATATCGCTTTAATCAGTAGCATTTAAAAATAAAAACAAATGGAATGAGTAATCTTCTTCTGTCTTTCATTTTTATTCATTTTTACTTCCCTGTATGCTACTGTAGGCTTTTTGACAGTTGGAATGGTATGATTATGCCTTGCCCACAGGCCGCATGTGGATCCTAACCACTGCGAGAAACTCAAGTCGTCCCCATACAGCGCCAATAAATAAGTGAGCATTATTGTAAATAGCCTACAATAAGGAAATTTCGGCCTTTAACAATACAAGAGTACATCCATGGTTTACACGATTTCATCATCATGCGTATAGTTTTTTTTTGTTACCGCCCCTTTGTTGACGTTTTGCCAACTACACCGGAAGATGATTGGTCCATTTCAGTGACGCGCGCACTAGTATTTATATAACAACTTCCCGGTAGTTTCCTCCCCCTCAACCCCGGCTGTTAGTGCTGTGTGAGTGCGTGTGTGCTCTGAGCTAGCTCGGCACACATTCTATAAAAAACAAAAATACAAAAAAAAATTCAAAACATAAAAAAACAAAAAATTATTTTTCCTTTTTGTAACAAGTCAGTGAAGCTGGAGTAGACATCCGAGGACTGGACGGTAACGTACAAGGGCTCCCTAACGAAAAAATTTCAGTCGACGTGTTACCGTTACTGGTTAAAAAGCGAGGCCAAATAACGTTGCATTTGCTTTTATCGCTGTGTCAGATTTGAAAGACAATTTTAATCCCACTAGAAGTCGACATAATTGAATGTTATTTTAATTAACTCATCTTATAGTTTTTACTCGATAACACCGCCGCTGACAAGCCAACTGCTAAGGTTTAAAATCAGCATTCTGCCCCAAACTGAGGTGACGCCCGTGACCGTTGAACAAGCAAGCATTCGTACTGTCGCCGAAAACTTTTCGCCGAGCTTCGTCCAAGTACTTTGATAGCCTACACATCCAAAGAAGATGAACCCTAGTGCCCCTAGCTACCCCATGGCCTCCTTGTACGTTGGGGATCTGCATCAAGATGTGACCGAGGCCATGCTGTACGAGAAATTCAGTCCAGCCGGAGCCATCCTGTCCATAAGGGTCTGTAGAGACATGATCACCCGGCGTTCCCTTGGATACGCCTATGTAAACTTCCAACAGCCAGCAGACGGTAGGTAATTTATGAAAATACAGACAGAAATGTGTATAAAGTTAACATCTGTTTTAAAATTACACTCGGTGACTACTAAGCGCTAGCCACTCTCTACTACACGTGACTGCGGCCGACATGTTGGTGGGGTCTGCTCGTTTGAACTGCCCAGCAGTGGCGAAGCAGGAAAGCACCACGTCCACTCTGCTTTGCCCTGCCCACCCCTAGAATGTAGTAGAGCACTGCCAAGTGTCATTTGAATATTCAGTGTCTTTTTATTGCTATTCTGTCAGGACAGCACCTCAGTGGTGCAACCTGAGGTGCTGATAAAACAGTTTGATTACATCTACCCAGAATACTTGCCAGTCAGCTTTGCAGTGAACCTTCCAGTTAGGGAAAAAGTGTTAGGATTTAGTTAAATCGTTATAAAATGTCGGTCTCTCATACTCCAGAAGCCAGATATCTGTCCTCCACAAAACATTTTCTGCATTCCATTGATAAGAGCACAGGTCTGTATTTTGCCTTCTGGTTTTCTTGGGTGTGTTGCTGTTTACTGAGATATGCTCTGCTGAGGCATTTGCACCAGTCTTAGGGGTGGGCTCTGTAGATAAATATGTAGAAATCGCCTTTCATAGCACATGCTGTTTGGTACATTTGCTTAAATGGCTTTAAGAAACCACATACAAAAAAATAAGTGGACAGGATGACTGTTGTCCAAATAAAGTTATTCTAAATTCACTCACACCATAAAGCAATGATAGCTTTATACAAGGATTAACAATGTTGCCTCTATGTTCCTTCTCTCAGCTGAGCGTGCACTGGACACCATGAACTTTGATGTAATCAAGGGGCGACCTGTGCGCATCATGTGGTCGCAGCGTGATCCATCACTGAGAAAGAGCGGTGTGGGAAACATATTCATCAAGAACCTTGACAAGTCCATCGACAACAAAGCTCTATATGATACCTTCTCTGCTTTTGGCAACATCCTGTCATGCAAGGTAAATGGCCTGTGGCCATCTCCTCCTTGCTGTATCCCACCTAGAGTGAGCAGATAGTGAGCTGTCACTGTTGTGGTTTAACATTGTGAGTGTGAGCATAATTTGCATGTGTGTGCTTTGTAAACAGCCTCGATTGGTTTGCACTGTAGAGAGATGAAAGACCAGCTCTTCCATTAACAGATCTTTCACCCAGTTCTGACACTAGGTGAAATATTAAAGAATACTTCTGTAGCTGCAGGGAAAACATTTGGCATTAACATGTGATTGTGTTAAAAGAAATACAAGTAAAAGTCTAGGGGTGGATTGGTACTACAGAGGAGGGTTGTGTGCTCATAACCAAACATAAATTTGTACACTAAATAAATTTAAGAACCCTACATTGGGTCCCAGAGCAGCTGTGCAAAAGAAATGTGTTGAATCGCAGTGAGGAACAGAAATTGGAATTGTTTTTTGACAGCAGCACAGTCCCAGTGCAAAAAAATGGAACTCACAGCAAGTTAGTTTTAGTTTGTAAAATAGGCAGAGGGAAGACTTGTAAGTGATCCAACAGACAGTGCAAATTTGGTATACAGTTAACGTGTGTGTGGCCTTAAAGCAGCATATGTCTTGTTTCTCTAAGGTGGTTTGTGACGAGAATGGCTCTAAAGGCTATGGCTTTGTGCATTTTGAGACTCAAGAGGCAGCCGAACGAGCCATTGAGAAAATGAATGGCATGCTGCTCAATGACCGCAAAGTGTAAGTGAATGTTTTAAATTGTTTGGTGCACACTAATGTGTGAATTGGGGAAATAGCTATTGTTTATTGCACCTGGTCTGACTGACGGTTGTGCAATAATTGCTTGAGCACTTGTATAAATAACTCATTTATTCTAAGTTCTACAATGTATAATAATCCCTGTCATAAGCTTGATGATAAGGTAGTGCCTACAGTGTAGTAAACATTAATGTGCACAGTTGTCTTTGTTACTCAGGTCATTTAAAGTTGGTATGTATTACAAATTTTAATGTTCATTTCAATGCAGATTTGTGGGTCGCTTCAAATCTCGCAAAGAGCGCGAGGCTGAACTGGGTGCCCGAGCCAAGGAGTTTACAAATGTCTACATTAAAAACTTTGGCGATGACATGGATGATGAGAAGCTGAGGGAACTCTTCAGTAAATATGGTTAATCAGGCAGTCCATATTTTATACAGCTCTTTGAAATGATATGGATATGCATATACAATGTTTTGGTTTGCAGTAAAACAATATGAGGCAAAATATAAACATTTAAAGGCTTCCTCTTTTGTTGTTCAGGAAATGCCATGAGCATCCGTGTTATGACAGATGACAGTGGAAAATCTCGAGGCTTTGGGTTTGTCAGCTTTGAAAGGCATGAGGACGCCCAGAAAGTAAGAGATGATCCTACAGTTTTCTTGATTTGGAACTGTATGCCATTTCCTGCCACTAGGTTGACTCAGTTTTTTTTTGTTTGCAATAGGCAGTAGATGAGATGAATGGGAAGGAGCTGAACGGCAAGCTGATATATGTCGGCCGTGCGCAGAAGAAGGTAGAGCGACAGACGGAGCTGAAGCGCAAATTTGAGCAAATGAAACAAGATCGCATAACTCGCTACCAGGTCCGTATGTTTTTCTACCACAAATTGACACAACACCTGATACTAGAACAATGTGCCACAGTACAATATACTACTACTTGATGCTGACAGTTTTGCAACCTTGTGCCAGTCTTTTGCACTGAGCTGTCATACAGTACATTGATAATTGATCTCGCTGGCCACTGTATGGAGGATTAGGAGTAATGTCATTGAGTGTTTGTTTTTTACATGCTATTGCTCCAACTCCATGCAATTCATAATCTTCTTCACAGAGTTATTAGTATTGTCCCAAGTTCATTGAAAGGCTGCAGCTTTGTCAAATTCAGTGCTCTCTGTTTAATAGGTTGCACTGGCCAAAATGGCTGCAACAGTGACTGTAGTTCATGGGCCCCACATTTCTTTACCATGTACTGTGGGGATAAATATGTACTGCAGACA